ATTCTCGTATGACTGTAACTTAGTTATTTCTCGATAGTCTTTTCAAATCTCTCTCTCATAACTTTTCATTCTCTCTCTCAAACTACAAACATAATATCAAGTGTCAAGACGACCTCTTGAATGGTTCCTGGGATGGAGTCCCCACGGCGGTTCGCTTTGCAAATGAATGCCACTCGAAAAACTAGTTTACATCTCAATCTATTTCCAGTAGCTGCAACTTTTGTTAACAAACACAATAGCTTTCAGCTACCCTCAATCTTTTCCTTCACCATGAAGATGGATAAAGGAAAGCATGCGTTCTGTAACTTCGAGAAACAGTTGTTTGACAAACCCATTCTTCACCTCGTCGACAATGACGAAGACACCTCGTAGACGCGATTGAGAATCACAAGAACGGTATACTCGTGGTTTCGAAGGCACCACCACACTGGAACTACAATTAGACAGGAACCCTGTCGGAACCACATGTTGCCAACGAAAGCGCAAATCAGAAGACTCTAATAACGAGGACAACTCCTCTATCGATTTCAATCACTTGGATGGAGAAATCTCTATCTGAGGATTAGGGCCAGGATGATGACTCAACGGAAGCATGTTCCGATTTCTCATAACAAAGTGAAGAAGATATCTAACTAAATAATAAAGAACTATAGTTTTGCAAACCACACAGGCACAAAACATGAACTACCTAGAACGAGGCAATTAGAATATGATTGACGCCCGTAAGCACGCGTCGTTGCCCTCTAACAACTTTTGACTCTCGATGAATTACAATGTCAACCTAGATTTAAGCCGTGCAAGATCGTTAACCAATCACGTCCCGTAGTATCAGCACCCAAGGTACGGTCAGGGCCAACAGATAACACACAGGCTCTCATACACTATAGACGCTCGTAACGTCGCAGACAGAGAGATCGAGTCAATGACCATGGCACTGTACAGCTCCGACATCCCCTAACATTGCTCCTATCGCCTATGTTAGATTTAACAAGCAAGAAAAAGGGAAACCAAAACCCGTTACACTCCCTTGCTTACTGGATACAGGAGCATCCAGAACCTAGATTGCTCAACCTCATGCAAAATTGAGCCGCCCATTAACGAAAGGATTTGGGGGCGTCCGGAAGGCAAACGCTAATCGTGAACAGACTTTAGAAACACTCAGGTATCGCATGACCACAGGAAGATTTAAACAACAGCCACGAAGTGCACTAAAGGTGACAAAAAGTGCTCTATGATATTCTTGGTGGATTGCGATTATTCCCTGAAATTCCCGCACGGCAGATGATCCCAACCGGATATTAATATCCCATTTGATCGGAGAATTTCGAAGTTGGGAGAAGTTGGGCCATCACCCACGTCACCCCTTTAAATCATATGTTCTCATTCCTTGTCAGAAAGAGCTTGGGGGCGTATGACATGATCATAGGTCGAGACATTCTCCTTCGCTGTCCGATATAGTGCGGAGCGCCGTACTTCACGTCGTATGACCACACTTGTGCACAGTAGTGTGAGGAGGCACGGAACAATCTGCATCTCAGAGTGTCGGCTCTTAGTTGATGTTTAGTATGAGAATCGCGGAAAGTCTACTGCGAGAGCTAGGATTAGGGATGTTTTATGAGAGGAAGTTCTCTGACCACTGAATAAGACTCTAATCAATGAGTTCGAGAGTACGGTTCAAATAGCTATCAAATGGGATCTTGAGACAGGGGTGAGCTCAATACTTGGACCTTCCCGCGGGAGACCTATAAGTGTGGATAGAGTAGAGTTGCAGGTAGGTAATTCCTACGTTGTCTCAAATCCTGCAATAAAGCTGCATTGAAACTCGAGGAGGTTGATGATGAAATCGCTCTAGATATTAGCCAGCGTGGAGTCTTCCCACTATCGTCATCCATAACAGTCGAAGACTAGACAAACCTTCCACGCGTTCCGTTTTAGGATCGTGGAGAGACGTAGGATTACTACGCAACCTACTCTATCACACTTTATAGTCTCCGCGGGAAGCCAGATCTACGATCCCTTGATGATGATCTCTCTCATTGATTAGTTTTCATAGCTTTTTAATCCCTCTCATAACTTTTCATTCTTCTCAAACTCAAAAACACTCGAAAGATCTTTACATAGCTTTTTAGCGTAGTGCACTAAGTCGGAGAGAATGTCTCGACCTATGATCATGTCTACGCCCCCAAGCTCTTGGTGACGTGTAAATCCATTCGATAATTCTATCATCGTGGAATTCAGGAATCATGAAGCACCTTTGCACTTCGTGCTGGTGTTTAAATCTCCTGCAGGGTTAGTCCACATGGTTTGGACGCCCCCAAGATCTTCATGCGTAATTTCTTAGCATGAGTTTGAGCAATCAAAGTTCCGATGCTCCTTATCCAGTAAGCAACGAGTGTAACGGGTTTTTTTCCCTTTTTCTTGCTTGTTAAATCTAACATAGACGATAGGTTTAGGTCTCTTGTCTTGCGACGTTTACGAGGTGGTTGGCCACGGACGAGGTTAACGATGCTAAATAGATCATAGAGTCTAGTTGAGCAGCTTCTAGGCAATCATCTAATTTGCCGTAGAGTTCATCGGTTGCAAACAATTTTTTTTACTAGTTAGTGAGATATCTTCATCACTTTGGTATGAGAAATCGGAACATGGTTCCGTTGAGTCATCATCCTGGCCTAATCCTCAGATAGAGATTTCTCATCCAAGTGATTGAAATCGATAGAGGATTGTCCTCGTTATCAGAGTCTTCTGATTTGCGCTTGGCAACATGGTTGCGAATTTTGCAGTGGTTGCACGAGTATCGTCGATCTCGTGTCTTCGTCATTGTCGACGAGAGGAAGAATGGGTTTGTCACGCAACTGTTTCTCGAAGTTGCTGAACGCATGTTTCCTTGAGCCATCTTCATGGTGAGGAATAGTTGAGGGTAGCTGAAAGCTATTGTGTTTGTTAACAAAATGCACTACGCTAAAAGCTAGTGTAAAGATCTTTCGAGTGTTTTGAGTTTGAGAGAAAAAAGTTATGAGAGAGATTTGAAAGCTATGAAAATAATCAACGAGAGAGATCATCATCAAGGGATCGTAGATCTGGCCTCCCGCGGGAGACTATAAAGTGTGATAGAGTAGGTTTGCGTAGTAATCCTACGTATCTCCACGATCCTAAAACGGAACGCGTGGAAGGTTTGTCTAGCATGGATCTAGTAGCGTGGAAGTACTCCACGCTGGCTAAATATCTAGAGCGATGTTTCATCATCAACCTAGTATGACTAGAGCGGTCATTGAGAACCCTGTCTCAAATGACTATTCACGAGAGACTCAGTCATGAGTCGAACTCAAACCCTATCTAGGATCGAGTCGCGAATAAGGCTAAGAGCCGTGTATTGCACTAGATATGGAACTGTTCTGGTCGGACCAGGAAGAACTTCACTTCCGAGTCCACCTTAAACCGAACCAACAACTGAAATATCTAAACAGAGGAACTACCCACACAAACGCATGCCTCAAAAACATCCCACTAGGGGTGTTCCAAAGACTCGCTAAACTCACTACAGTTACCAACAAGAATGCCAACCAAACCCTCGCTGAGATCCACCCACTACATATCGAGGCGTTGAAGAAAGCTGGACTGGTTCCAGAACAGATACCAACACTACAAGAAGAAATACAACGATACTCCAAGCGACAAGAGGAAAAAGCAAACGAACCAGATAGAGATGCCAAGCAACGAAAGAGGAACCGGAACCGATCATTATTCTTCTGTATAGGACACTCCAACGCCTGGTGACCCCAATACACAAGGTAATCAACGACCTCAAGAAGAGCCATGGCCTCGAATGGATTAGAACGTCTATGTCCTATCATCGATTCACCAACCTGCGAGAGATGTTCATGGGCGACCTATTGAGGAAGCTCACCAAAGACGTCATCTCCACCGAGTTCCAAAATGAAACCTGCAACTGCAAGCCAGGAAACAAGAAAGAAGGCCAATGCCGATTTGACGACCGCTGTAGAAATAAACTGGCCATATACCGCATCAAATGCATTAACTCGGGCAAGGAATACGTTGGGGCAACCCAACGAAACGTCAAAGAACGAACATACCAACACTTCACCGACGTCATGCGTCTCCTCTATGGAAAACGCAAGTCAGATTCATACGCAAGACACTTCGCCAACGAATTCCAAAACTTCGCAGCTTCTTCACCATTCCGACTTAATGGCGACATTCAAAGGAACAGCATCGAAATTAGCATCCTATGGCAAGGCAACCCCATCAGCACTGTCAAGACCTTCGGGACACGACACTGCAGCCTATGCAACAGGGAGCGACTCGAGATACTGAAACGATCCAGAGAATCGCCAGAAAAGCTGATCAACTCCTGCAACGAAATATACGGAGCATGCCGACATAAACCTCGATTTCATAAGTACCACAATAGCCCAAGCACTGATGATTCCCAAGGGGGATGAAAAAGTCAAACAACCGAAAAGTTACCACAGAGTGAAAGCTCGTGTTTTAGCGATTCGGCAGTTTGTGCTGATTAAAACCTACTTAATTCAGTCACTTTTTGCTAAAATCGTATAAAGTCCAGATTCCAGGCGGCCCCAGGCCGACCTACTCCTTCAGGATCTTTGAAACGGAAGTTATCGAAGGCGCTGGCACTGCCACCCACCACTGCAACATGATGAAATGCTTTGATCTCCTGGAGGGGCTCCGCTGACGTCATGGTGATTCCGAACTTTCTTGTGGAAACCTTTTCGGCGAGACTCGCACGACTCGCGTTTGTTTGACTCCCACGCGAGTCAAACGAGTCTAATTGCGAGTCTGTGCGAGTCTGTGCGAATCCATGCGAGTCTCTAGCTTTTGACTACAGTTAAAGTTACGTTTCTGTGCGAGTCTGTGCAAGTCTACGCGAGTTAAATGCAAAATAACGCGAGTAATACGAGTCAAAGTTGCGAGTCTTGGGCTGTAATTTCCAAAGGAACAATGAAGCCTCGCCAATAGTGACGTCAGCGGAGCCCCTCCTGGTCCAAGCTATTTTCAATTGCATTCTTCAAATCACTGATGTATTGCACCTTAAGTGAATGGTCACCCGCAACAGTGAACTGTAGGGTCAGTAGAACTTCATCCTTGAAGAATGCGGCATCAAAACATCCTTGATTCCATTTCATGCACCATATAATTGTTCCAGATTCAAATTCTGTCTCTGGGCTATAGCTCAGTTTGTTTCCATCATATGAGACTTCTCCATTTTCAACCGGTTTAAAGCACAACCCTTCCTTGGATGTCAGCAATTTTTTCACACTATTCTTAGTAGAATTTTTTGTGAAGACAGTTTTGATCGCGTGGAGCTGCTCCAGTTCAAATGCCCAGCCTTTGAGAGTAGGATTATCTGAATGTTCGGCAGCAGCATTCACAGCACTAACCAACCTTCCTTCCACCTTCTCATATGCTTCAAAGAGAACATACTTGCTAACAGCGGCAGTGCGACCCTTAAACTGCTGCATGAGAGTGTTGACAGAGTTGGGAGCCTTGTAGGAAATTGTTGGACTTGCAAACTCTTCCCATTCATTCCCCTTGATTTTGGAAACAATATATCCAGGCTGTCTTTCACTCCGAAGGTTGTGAACTCAAACAAAAACCTGGCGCTGCCACCTGCATAATAGTACTTGTGATCAAAATACTGTTGAGCAGTAGTAATGTTTGCAGCAACAGCAACAAAGGATTCCACAGAAATAGCATCGTCATTGGTCTCATATTCATTGCTTTCTTCCGCTTTTCCTTCTTCTCCTTCGGAGATACCATCTCCAATGCTCTCTTCTTCGCCATCCACCTGTTCAGCCCATGGAATGGGGGTACCCATATTCTTAAAGTGAAGAATGTCCTTCATAATATCAGGTTTGGATTTCAGTAAGCGGTTTAAGAATGGCTGGTTGGAAATGGCACTTTTGTAGTCACCTTGGGTGAAGGAGTCGAACTTTAAATCTTCGTAGGCCCTATCAATACCCATCTGAACATCTCCAGCCCTCAAATCAAACTGCAAAGAAGTTGTAAACACAATTCTCTTGATCTTTCTTTTGTCTCCCGTGTGAGAGGTAAGCATCCCCATCAGCGCAGTGCATGGATCCAATGATGTTCGAACTCCATCAAGAAAGCACAAGTCGAACGGATTTGTCGCCTCTTGCAGTGTTTGCTCGACTAAAGCAACAACGTTACCCTGGTGAAGCGCATTGCGAAGCTTCTTGGATTTTTGTCCCTCAATAATGATGATGTTGCAGGGGTCTTGTACGCGGAACAAGATCATCAGAACTCTCTTTCTTTGGCGATGGTAGTGGGCGTGGGCGTTGTAGGTGGGGCAGGGAGAGAGCTGTTGGCGGCTGTGGTTGTATCGGCTGCGGCTATCCCAGCAGGTTTGGTATTTCAAGAAGCTCTGGTTAACCCAGCTGCATAACGGTGTGCTAATAACGTTGAAAACGCAGTCTTTCCACAACCCGGAGGACCGGTAACATAGAGCCTCAACCTTTTCCTGCTCGACCTACTGGGAGAAAATTTCTCTCCGGAAACAAATTTTTCGAATCGTCTTCCCTGCTTTACAAGGTGTCCTCGAATGAACAAAGGAACGTCTCTCACGTCATTGTCTTCGATCATGCGGACAGAACAGACCTCGCCTTCTTTCAGGAGTTCCGGCAACTCGCCCTGGTACTGAAATGCAACAAAATCAAGCGGTTGTGCTGGAGTTGTCATGGTGCATGGCAGCTTGCCGCAATACTGTAGTGATGTGCAGGGGTTTGATATGCCTATTGTATTTTTTGTATAATACGTATAATACACCCCCTCCTGAATCTTTTAAAAAATAATACATACATAAAATACGGTATTTAATGTATTGATACTGTATTGAACCGTATTTTCGTATTTTCGTATTTTACTGTATTTTGGTGTATTACATGGTTTCTTGGGTGTTAGTTGGCTTTTGGTAACCATACTTCCTGGTCCTAAACTTTGCAATGCAATATGTTGGAAGCTATTTGAAGCAGATGGGATGATGGTAGGTAATATGGTGTGAGAAAAGTGGTGAGAACCACTGGAGCAGGCATGAGTACTGCAATTAGATGAGTCAACAGTAGATCATGACTCAAAGTCCAATACATATAATACACCGTATTAAACGTATAATAGGTATAATACGTATCCAAAATCTCAATACACGTATTTGCACATCACTATGCCGCAAGGCTGGCTACTAGTAGCTTTCTGAGCTCACGATTGATTCCTACGATACGATACCGGTACTTTTCTTCGTTACTACTTACGTACTAGCTGCTAGCGAGTAGATGGCTCCCACAGTAGTGGAAGTACATCTCTAAATGCAGCCATGCAAGCACATTTCTTAATTGCGAATCGGCATGCCCGCGAACAGTTACCAAGCCTGGCGACCCAGTATTTAGACCTCCTACATTTTCCACACTTCGATGGCCAAACAGGACTTACAAGTACATATCAGGTCTGATTGAAATGGTAACAGCAGTTATGAGAGCGAGTCGATACTGTGTACTCGGAGTATTTCGTAGGGGAGCGTTTAATATATCTCCTGATAACGTCGCGGTATGTATTCGGTGTCAGAGATTGTCTGTGCCACGTAACTGAACACATAGGATCCTACGTGTTGTCTGGTAACGTAGCGTGGAGCGTTGTACACCCATTTACGCGAAAACTTTCGTTTTCATTTTCATCATCCGTCATCCATCCACAACCGTGATTCGTTCTTTCAGTTAACGACTGTTACGAGAGCAAGTCGATCTTGTATACTACACCTCTTCACATTTTTCGTGCTGGACACTCTGAAGCCAGCAAAGTAAAGGTATTAATCAACCCTGTGTGGGTCTGTTTGGTTGCGTAACCACCAGAATTATCATTTTGAGTATTCAGCTAATTTTGTAGCAATTTGGCATTTCAGCTAGATTGAGCATTAGGTGTATCTCTTAAATGAATGGATTAATTTAATGATGAAAGCTAGCCCAAAGTTCAAGTGGGAAAATTAATGGATAAAAATCCTCAAGTATAAATAAAAGGTGATATAGGGATAAATTGGATATTTACTTAGGCAAGCATATTGATTACTTAGATGTATATAATTTTCAGGATGGTATAAAACTAAGAGCATGCTAATGGATGGCAGTTACTGGTTTTTGAAAGACTTATTGCAGATTTACTTCAAGTAGATGGTGCAACAGAACACTTAATACTCACTATGACTGCATAGAAATGTGGAATTAAGGTACATTGAAGTAATAGGATTATGGTTATTGAATGACATGCCCATTGTGCATGAGTTTCGAAAAAGGATAGAAATAAGTGTTGATTGTAACATTTTAAGATCTATTTCTTTTTGTTTTTGGCCTTTTTTTCGTGTTGATTGGGAGGTAGCATTTGATAGTGCTTTTCTTTTTTTAGGTGTTGCTTTTTGTGTTTTCTTAAACTTTCCTTATGACAAATACCGAGAATATTTTTGTGTCTGTTGGTACAACACATCATATGGTATCTTCCAGTGCACTTTAAACAAGTCCAACAACACATGCTGCCCTGACCACAAGCAACCACACATCAATGAAAATCGTGCCCGTTAGCGTTGGGCATATCCTTCAAATATAAAGACAAAGGCGTTCTGGTCATCTCACACAAAAAACACTGTATCCAAGTCTTGTGCAAAGACTCAAAACCGTCACATAGGCTCAACACAACACAAAAAAAACCAAAAAATGGTGGAGTCACACATATGCTAGGCAGCGCCGCAGCGGCAACCTTAACCTTAACAATATTTGTTCAAAAACGTACTAGTTCACATTTCACCGTAAACCACCGTAGTGTTAGACGTCAGACCCACACGGGGGTAACCTAGAACTTTCGGGCTCTTCTAGTTAGGTTACAGTCGTACTCAATCGCTCTGATTGTAACTTAACCTGGTTTATACTGTACATTCCATACGGTATTGGTGCAGCGTATTCATCCAAACACGCGTTTCTCGTGACTCGTGCTTCAGCGAAAATGGCGCCATTTCAGGTTTTCGAAGGGAAAATGTTGCCCCCTGTTCTTCGCATTGTCGCTGGTCCACGCAAGTCTCTGAAAGTCGGGCTCCGTCCTTGAGAAGTCTCGACTACTACTGTAGCTAGTGCAATAGGTGTGGTGGTGCCATGCCGCCATTCCCCATTGCGTCGCCAACAACTGGCAACTCCAATCCACCAGTCGTAAGCCCAGATCCATCGGCAACGAGATCGGAACCTAAGACGCCATTGTCTGAGATTGACAGTCAATTCCAGCAGATTGGTTGCCTGGGCCATGGTGGCTTTGGCAGTGTCTTTCTGGCGCAAAAGCCATCCGGTCGCCGAGTGGCTCTCAAGTTTTGTGAATTGAATAACGATGACGATGACGACCGCAACGAGATGCTGCAACGAGAAATTGATGCCGTCATTCAGTTGGAGTGCACAAGATCCAGCGAGGGATTGGCCATTGTGTACTTTGAGGATTGGTTCATTGGTGACAACTACGCTTGCATTGTCATGCAACATGCGGATGGAGGAACGTTGTCGCAAGAAATTCTGGCCAAACAGGAGCGATTGGATCAAGGCCACAATGGAGAACCCTACACGGAACGACGAATCGCCTCCTACGCTCTCCAGCTCAGCTCAGCCTTGCATCACGCTCACAGCCGGGGTGTGGCTCATTTTGATATCAAAAGTGCCAACGTGCTAATTGATCGAACGGGTGGGGGAAGACTACTATTGGCGGACTTTGGCAGCGCCGTGTCCCCAGGAGGAGAACCAGAAAACTTTACAGAAATATACGCCTCTCCGGAGTTGCAGAGAGCACATGCCCACGAGGACTTTTCCGCATTGGATCCGACAAAGGTGGACATGTTTGGTCTGGGGTGTATTCTGTACGAGCTGATTTGTTGCAAAAAGCTGGTGGATTTGACGGGCGATCAAACCTTGGCGGAGTTCATTGTGGAGAAACAAACTGCGGAAGCGACCCTTGCTTTGCCATGCGTTCGCCTTCCATTTCTGCCAGAACAACAATCGTCTCAGAACCACCAGCAGCAAGTTGGATACTCGCATTTTTTGAAAAGCATGGTCACAAATCTTTTGGAACTGCTTCCTAATGTGCGCTCTACACCTTTAGTGCTGCAAAACATATTGAAGGATCCCTCCTACAGCCCTTTGCTCCAAGACTGGGTAATAGCAGCACAACCTCCTCAACCCGGGGCTCCAGTAACAGTCGACAATATACAGCTGGGAATGCTTGTACAACGTGGACCCGATTGGGCAGACGGCGACTCTGATGGGGGTATCCACAGTGTGGGAGCAGTGGTCAAGTTGGATTGTGATGCCGGTTACACGGAGGTTGCATTCCCATCACAACAACAAAACCCAGAGACTCTTGTCTGCCGCATTGGAGCAGGCAACAAGTTTGAGCTAGCCGTGGGGCCTCCGTCGGCCGCAGATTTCCTTGGCATTCTAAAGGGAGCTAATCCTGCAGAATTTGTCATTGGGCAACGAATTGACGCGAATTGCATGGTAGTTGGTATCCAAGACAAGACAGTCTTGGTGGCCCCCACGGAGAAGATAGCCATCCAGCAACTTCCCTTTCATCGCCCTCAGCCCGTGGTGCCACCTGTGTTGCTACCAAAGAACCCTCCTCCTGAACCGGATAATTGGCAGCATGGGACCGACACATTGCCTGAAATCACTGACGCATCGGAGCGGCAGCAAGTTTTGGTCGCCTTTACACAGAATTCAAACTATGAGATTGGATCCATTCGTCGAATTCAGAATCCTGTGCTCTGGAAATCCTATGCAGCAGCTCGCGAACGTGTTGCAGCGGAGAATTGGGGAATCGCCAATGAAAAGCGCCTCTTCATTGGAACAGGCCAATATGCACCAGAAACTCTCCATCGCCACATCCCGCCACAATGGTTCTTCTCCAAGTGCGTTACCAATGCAAACGATACGCCTTGCTTCAAGGATGCCAGTGGCGCTGATCACAACTGTCACCGTTCGACAAACAGCAGTGATGGGTATACGAGACAGTTGGTACTTTGTCGTGTTGCCTTGGGTAGGACAAAGACAAAGGAAGGGGGAAACAGGGAGGCGGGTAGTCTTCCCCCGCATTCTGTGATTTACCATTCTGAGACGTCAAACAACAGCAACGGTAATCACTACGAAGTCAAGCTGTCAAGCACCTGCCAGGCATATCCAGAGTACCTGGTCTCTTACAAACTACCCACAACAACTGGTCGCCGTGTGCTCAGAGCAAGGCGCCCTGCACGCCCTGCATCTGGGCGCGCTCCATTGCCACCACAACCGAACAGGAACTGGGCAGCTCGTCGAGTTTCAACAAATCAAGCACCTGTGCCGGCTGCAGCTGAACCTTCGTCCTCGGGACGTGCGTCGCAGCCACTCGCGGCAGGTTCAGCACGGATTGCGAAACCTTCAGCCTCAGCGCCGAGAATGGTATCCCCGCCAGCACGACCCCCTTTGGCGTCCCCTGTGGCAAAATCATCCCATTCAGCCAGCAAATTGTGTGTAATTTGCATGGAAAGGGATGTAACAATGATCCTCATCCCTTGTGGGCACCCCTGTCTATGCGAAGCTTGTGGTTCGAAGAAAGTACTTAAAAAGATGAAGAAGAAATGCCCCGAATGTCGAAAACACATCGATCAAGTTGTGCGGATGTACGGGCGGGTAGTCGAGGATTGAGCACAGTTGTGATACAAAGGATTTGTAGTAGTAGGAGTAAAAATAGCAACGTGGCAAGGAAACTACGAAGTTTCAAACTCGCTGATGTAGCTCGAACAATCACCGTCTAAGTTTCAATCTTTTGGACCTCCTTGGGCCAACATTTTGTGTTGCCGTCACGGTTTTCCCAGTCAGCGGAGTGCTTCGAGTGTCGAGGTTCACAATCGAGCTCCTCCTGTGAGTCGACTGTCACTCGCAACAGATCAAGCTTTCGTAGAGTGGCGGGTCGCGTTGGCCTCCGGCGTCGTTGCCGAGGAAAGAAGGGTGTCCCGTCTCGTTTGCTTGGTTGGTCGATGGGAAGGCGCATGACGGCTATCGTGATTTCAAAGCGCAGAAGGACGCGGGTTTCATCGAGGCGATGCGTTCGACTTAGCGTGGAGTCCACTACAGAATCACAATCAATTCGTCACAGTTTCATTATAGTGTATACGGACTACATGCATCATCTATCTCTTCTCTTGAAACGGGCTCAAACTAGCTAGTCCTCGCACCAACACAAATCAAAATAGCGACATCGCAGCTCATGCTTGTGAGGGATCGGTCGCGTTGTTGTGGTTCTTGTCCAGCCATCCATCGTCGTCGATCGCGACGGCCATCAATTCATCCTTTTTCATTCTTTGCATCTCGTTGTCTTTCGTTCGCAATACAGACATCGTCTAGCTAGCTTCTTCGTAAACAGGGAGTGGCGAACGCTTGCACCAATACCAAGAGATTCGCTCCTCGGTGTCTATCGACAGACCAACAGATTACTCCCCGTTGTTGTAGGCGACGCCACCACCATTTGTAGCCGCCGAAATGCTTCGAGTGGCGGTTTGGATTTGGGGTTGCAATTGCTGGATTCGTGTCGCTTCGGTTGACACAGCCGACGAGATTTGCACCAACTCGTGGTGGATTTGGTCCGCCTCCTGCCGCCCCAACGACAAGATGAAATGGCAATGTTTAGTGTGTCGAGTTGAAAATGACAACGAAGAAAGCACGAAGCTTCGCTCTACTTGCCTGCAAAAAGAGAACCAAAGATTCGTGCAATCCAAGAGTGATGTCTCTCTTTGCTTCGAGGACTTCCTGCAGCTTCTGCTCTGCCAGTTGAGTAATCCTTTCAACTTCTCCAAGTCCACCAGATCCAAACTGCAATTCATCGTCCGATCCTTGAAACGTTTCTCCAGCCTCCATTTGGTGGTCGTGATGAGGATCGTAGACTCCCTCGTCGCGAACGTTCTCCACCATGGTTCGGGGAGCGCGATTTCCGTGACGAGGCGTCCCTGGATGGTGGTAGGCGCCTTCCGCTGCCTCCTGGTTGTGCTGGTGATACTCGTAGGAGACGCCATTGTTGTTCATTTCAGGGTACGTCGCCATTGTTGAAGTAAGCAGAGAGATGAGAAGAAACAAGAGAGTGGTTGTGTCGTTCGTCGTCTTCGTCGTCTCGGTAGTGTGAGAGGAAGAAAAGGAGAGAGTGAACGAAGCTCCGCACCGAGCGAGCAAGTGCGCGTTTGCTCGTTTGAATGTCAATTGAGCTTTGTTGAGTCGAATGGGTCAAATGCAAGTCGCTCAGCTGCTCCCACTTCTTTCCCCATTACATGTATGTATTGTCACCAACAAGACTCCAAAAAGGTCGGAGGTTTGCTCTGTTCTTCAAAAACCTGGCGAGTTGTGGTCCTGGAAGAATCTTCAATCAGAGACTGTGAAGCCTGATACAGTACATGGACGGCTCGTTTGTTGGCTAGAATCTGGGGTTGTGAAGCAAGAAAGGCATGATGAAGCAGTGAAACCTGGTTTCATCAGGATGCGTCATTTTCCGAGAACCACAAATCGATTGAGAGGAGCAACGCTGCTGTTTTGGGTCATTCTGAATGGGTACCGGTATCTTCTCTTGAATCAATCTGCGCTGACGGAGGCAATGGTTTGGGTGCGGCCAAAGTCTATAAACCATATGGACTGGGGTGTGATTTGATGGGACAAGCATCGCACTATGGCTACCCCGACTTGCCCTGTTCTGTTGCTCAGGAACGGTTTCCCTTCTTTTGTCGTTGTATCGATGTGCTGCCAACATGTACAATATGCAAGCTGAATCTGGTCCCTCCCTTCCCGAACCGCTTCATTCCACTCCTGAACATGACTTGTGGTGAAGCCAATGACTTCGTCTCTCTTCGGACCGAATCTGAATGCCCCACAGCCCTAGCAGCGTTCTCGGTGGATGTGGCTGCATTCTGTGGCTGCAGCAAAAATATGCCTCTCAGGGGCCGATGTGCATTTTGTCCTCCTGGGGAAGCTTTCGTTGTAGACTACAGCGAGGAAGGGGACTCACTGAAACCACCACTTTTGGTCGACCTCATACTCATGAAACTTGGTGTCAAGAGCTGGAAAACCTTGCACTGTATGTGGTGAAGACAGACCTGTGTCTTGCGGTCCAGGAATCTGGCCGCGAGTGTTGCCGACCATTGATTACAGATGCTCCCATGTTTGCGGTGACGTTCCAACCCACTGTTTTCGTTCTTGACGACAAGAATGGAACACTAGATGGTGGCAACAACTCTTCAGATGATCTGAACAACAACAATACCATAGCACCTACAATCCCCGCAGAGGAAGAAAGCGGAGGAAGCACCCCTATGCTCAAAGATGTTTGGTGGTGCTGGGTTTTGATTTCGGTTGGGTATCACGTTCTACTTTGACAAGCAACGAGCATTTCTACTAGATAGTTATTAGTTGCAACCATGCCTGGTTTGACTAGTACTTCGGTCCATGGTGGGGTATCGGGAGCTTGAAAAGGTTCAAGCAAGTTAGATCGAAAGATGAATGAATGATTGGAACAGAAGTATTAGTAATGTGGATGCATCTGCTTAGATTTTGTCAGGGTTTATAGTAGTAGCTAGTAACAACATCTAATCTTGGTGATACAATTGCCACTACAAAGTCACCAACAGGAAGATGCGTCGGAAGCAATGGTGAAAACCCCAGAGCGTGCTTTCGCCTGAGCTGCCATTCTTTAACGGTACCCGGTAAGCGAAGCAAAGCGAATCCATGCAATCACTCGGAAGCAGACTGCCTGGCTGTGAGGTTGCGCTTCTCCCTTACGTGCTAGCTAGCTAGCTAGTATGGCTATTCCGCTTGTTACTGATCGTAGCCGGTGGCAGGTGATCAATCCAGCACAGTCTTGCTACTGTACATGTCGCTTCCGAATGCACTTACTGTACCGTAACACCGTTACAGTACGCCGGGTACGGAAATAGATTGGCAAACCCTCCCGTACCGTATGAGATTCGATTCGATTCCTGCGACCGGGCCCGCCAAGTTCTTGGCAACAACGCGAACCTGGCGTGAAAGAAAAAATCTTCTCACATTTTCTTTTCGGCCAAAGCATTTTGGGAGTCTTGTTGAAAGCTCAGACTTCTGTTTCCTCTAAAGCCGTCCTTCGACTCAAGACCCTAGCAACGACTCTTAACGATAACCCATCAACGACCAAGAGCGACAAAACACACACCTGAATTGGCTCCCAACACGATAACAAGATGCCCTTTCGACGACCGGGTAGCAGGGTTGTCCAAGCGATCGGGTTGGCCCTGGCCCTGATAACGCCATGCTGTCGAGTCGTAGCACAAGACCCGAACAAATGCGACTTATGCTCCGACGGATCTGAACCTGACATGTCCTTGATGAGTGCCGACTTGGGTTGGAGTTGCACAGATCTTAACCAATTTACAATTTATCTAAAGGCGGGAGACAAAGAATGCATCGATTTGCAGCTTATTGGATTCCAAGATTGTGGTTGCCCGACCTATCCACCAGGATATTGCACACTTTGTCCGGGGGGATTTTCTGATATACCAGATAGGGATCTGATCGTTCCGTCTCCTCAGAATCTGACGTGCGGAAAAATTTTGTTTGTGAACTCTGACGCTCTGGCAGGTGGATGTGGAGATTTGGAGCCTTATCGAGACCACTGTGGATGTCCCTCGGATGCTGAGTGCTCTTTTTGCGCAGATGGCACCATGCCAATGAATATGGATCGCGTCATTCCTTACCTCTCCAAACCCAGTGAAACGACAACCTGTGCGCAACAAGCCCAAAGAGCCTTTAGCGCGACCGCTGAGCAATGCCAAGACATCATTGTCCCACCAGTGGCTGTCAATGTGCAGGGTTTTTGCGGATGCCAAGGGACCTTTCCATCCAGTCTGTGCAGCCTTTGTCCCCTAGGAATGGATATTGCTAATCCGGATTTGGTTTTACCAGACACAGGGGGGCTGACTTGCCAAGAAATGGACGAGTACTTGAGCTACATCACCGATGAGGCGTCCTGCCAGGCAATCGCAGATAGCTCTCAAGTATGTTGCCAACCCATCGAAGAGTGCCCTGTCTGTGAGGGGGTCCTTTTCAATGAGGATAAGCTATATGAGCCATATGGTCTGACATGTGCGAATATTGGTTTGGCGTCAGACTTTGGCCACCCAATGTCTTGTGAGGACGTCCAAACTCGATTTCCCTACTTTTGCGAATGTGCTGATGCCATTCCTGCCTGCACACTCTGTCAACTTGGAGAAGTTCCACCCGAAACTGACAAGCCCATTCCCTTGTTGGGTACTACCTGCAAAGAAGTCAACGACTATGCCTCCATTCGCTTGACCTCCGAATGTGCCCAAGAAATGGCAAGCCAATCATTTGATTCGTCTGCATACTGTGGATGCACAGGGTTCGAGCCTCCCAACCAGTGCACATTCTGCCCCGAGGGTCAGATAGTCAGACAAATCAATAAAGCACCAGAGTTGGCTGGTGGTGCCACCTGTGGAGATCTCTTAGACTTTGCAAGCTACGTGACAACATATAATCTTTGCAGCAGCGTTCAAGCGTTTGCCTTTGAATGTTGCGTGGACCCGGATTCGCCGACAGAAGCCCCTTCGCCTGGCCCGCCGCCAGACGAGACAATCGCTCCCGGCACACCAGGAACAGCGATTCCAACAGCCACAGACACCCTAGCCCCAGGTACAACCGCGGCGCCAACAGCAACGATGCCTGCGCCAGCCGAGAGTAGTGCCGATGTTCCTCTCGCAAGACTTGGGACAAGTCTGGTGCTTCTACTATTCACCTTGTTGGCTCCCGGATTCTTGACTTGAGCACTGCATCGTAGAAACTGTATCACTGCCAATGAGTTCTGTGCTTGATCAATCGACACCACTTTTCCAAGCCGAGAACGAAAGAGCGTTTTAACACAATGTTAACTATCCAACGAGGAAACGTTAAAGCGAGCTAGCTAAGTCTCAGGTACAGGTACCAGGTACCTGAAGCTTGGTTCGCAGCTTCGCTTGGGCAGAAAGCAATGTGGTACCCGGTAAAACAAACTCGATAAGACAACAAGCGGACAAAAGGGGTGGCGACGATGACAGGAGGACTATTCCATAGTTTCGAGGGGCGACGACTATCCAGCGTCAAAGGAGGGCAGCTTCATGGGTGGGTCAATGTAATGAGCATTTTAAAGTAATACAAAAGAAAACACAAAACTCTCCACTGAAGGCTATGCTTAGCCTTTTCGATTCCTCTTCTTTTTCTTGTTTCCTCTCGCTTTCTTCTTGTTTCCTTTCTCTGCTTGATGGGTTCCGCTCACGGTAATTTCCGTCTTTCCTTTTCCTTTTCTTTTGGTCTTCTCGTTGGAGGTGGGTCCAGCTGCCGACTTCGTTCCAGCACCCAGCTTCGCCTTGACTCTTCCTCCTTCTACCTTTTGACGTTGCAAGGCCAATTTCTCGAGTAGCTCCTTGTGGTGAGCGCAAAGAGAACCCAGGAAGCCCTCATCGTGTCTTCCATCGGCCAGTCGAACGTAGGTCGCAGCTACTGGACCGAATGCCTTTACGAGCGGCCAAAACCCCGTTTCGAGATCCGCGACAGCACAGATTTCTTCGACCCAGTCAAGAAAGCGGGTAGAGACGTCTGTCCAGCGAGAGGTTTTGTCGGCGAAGTCGTCAAAACCAAATGGCTCCGAGAGCTTGCCCGGCTTGGTTTCCTTGGCTGCATCTTGGGTCATTGCTATGAACAGAAGCAGTTTCTGATGAGCCATTGCGGATCTGCTGAGACCTCCTCTTTCCTCCCACTCATGGAGGATTCTGGAAACGTTTTGCGCCGCCAACTCATGGCTTGAAAGTGCTACAATCGATACGTTGACTGCCGCATCAATCGAGCCCAGACGTTCGCAGATGAAAAACAATTCCTCAAAGTACTGCTTCTTTGCCCCGATCCGCCACAAGACTCCGCTATTAGGCGCATAGAGGAGTGAGTGATCTTTCGATTGTTTCATGACCAGGCCAGGGACTTTGCTCGAGTCAAATGCTCTGTACTGGTTGAAAAACTCGCTTTTGTTGTCTTCGCTGAGGTGGCGGCTTCTCAACACCAAGACAGCAGCTGCCTCCAGCAGCTCTTCATCCTTCAGCAACCGAAATAGACACTTTGGCCTGGCACGGAAAAGCAAAACAAGTCGCAAGAGATCAAGATGTGGCCAATGTCTATTTGTGACATAGGCCACGGCGAGCTTTTGATACCCTGCTGCAAGAAACCAGTCAACAACCAATGTGGAGTCTTGCTCGAACCTCTTTTCCAGAACACACGTAACCTCTTCCTTGAACTCGTCGGCTCCGAAGGTCAATAGACAAGTGAAATCCAATCCTGCTTTCTCTACAGCGTGTCTAACCAAGTCTTTTCCAAAGGATGCCAGGCATTCGGAACCTCGGGAAGAAGATGTGTCATCTGTTGATCCAAACAACTGCAGCAGTAACGAAAGCTTGCCTTCTCTCGCCAACGCCACTCTCGAAGCTCTTGATGTGGAGGTGTGTTCCTTCCAGAGATCCACGAGAGCCAAAAGCGTTTCAGTTGCATCTTTCCTCTTTGCTGCGATGATTCGTTCGCTGCAATCAGCTGCGTCTTGACCCTCGTTGGAATCTAAGAAGATCCTGACGGCTGCCAGAAAATTTCCTTGATCCATTTGATAGTCAGCGTGAGCCCAAGGCAAAGACTGTTCGATTTCCCTCCTTTGTCCGTCTGATGCGCGACGAACGATATCCATCAAACTCGAATGCTTCCTGTAACTTCCAAAAAGGGAGGCCAGAGAGCGATCAGCCAAGTCGTTGGGTTTGATGCCGTTCCAATTACCACGGATAAGGTGAAATTCAACGCCCAGAACCCTTGGTAAGTGCCTTGGGCAAGATTGGAGCGCTTGCGAGAAGATATCGTCGTTGATAGCGTCCCACTCTGTTCTAGTATCCACCAATTTCTTCAGCAAGTCGAGCACTTTTTTGGTATCTTGCCGTTCTTGAAAAGGAGTGACAGCTCTGTGGAAGTATTCCGATGCTTTTTCCTTCAATCCTACCCTCAAGGAATCTTCGCCTTTGGCGAGAAAAGACCAACCGTGATGTCCTGCCCTGGTGAAGCATCTTGATGCCAATTCGAATTGAGCACTGTCGAAGTGCTGCACTCCCTGATCAAACCATTGCTCACTTGTAGTTTCGCGATTGAATTCCTGAAATACGACGCTGGCCTGCATTTCCTCACAGTCTAGCTCCCGGAAGAAAGCATGCATATTGTCTATTTCGTTTTTGATCAAAATGACGACCCGTCGTTGGGCCCTGGTAACAGCCACGTAAAGCTCACGCAGCATGCGAAGAGACCCTTCAAGCTTTCGAGACACATCCCATGTCTTCCTATCGAAATCGAAGGCTAGGGAATACGAGAGATGGGAAAGTAAGGTTGATTTGAAATGGAGAGGTCGTTCTGATGACGACTCGGTACTTACCAACAACCACATCTTGGAACTCCAACCCCTTCGACTCCAGCGACGACAAGATGAATGGATGCCCCTTGAGCCATGTTTCAGCATCCTGTTGAAGAGGCAATGAGTCACTTGGAGCAAAAACAAAAGCCTGATCCCGCCCGAATTTCACGTTTGTTGTCATGGCATCCCGCCACCTACACATGACAACTTTCAATCCAAGATCTTTCTTGGCTGTCTCTGGAAGGGCATATTCAATAGCATTAGGGAACTTCTTCTTTGCGATGTCAAGGATGGTGTTGGCCATGGTCAGGATGTCCTTCGTTGTTCGATAGTTTACTACAAGATGGTGGACATCTTTCAACTCCGCTTCGATTCCCGGAGCTACAGACAAAAAGGTTTGCTTGAGTCCGTCGAACGTGAAGGAACAGCCAGGCGAAATCATTTGAGCTGGGTCGCCCGCGGCTACCCAATGCAAGCTGTCTTTCCCTGCTATCGAACAAATGAGATAGATGGAAGCGTGCGACAGGTCCTGGACTTCATCGAGATATGCTTGAAAGAAGGGAAAAACATGTGACACGTTAGCCGCCACACGCCATGATCTACAAACTGCGTCCCAAACGTACCAGACGAGAAGACTTGTGGGAGATTCTCCTTCAGCAGTCTCAAAACAACGTCGGCGATGTCAAACTTGCTTGTCTCTCTCTTCCAGGACACGTACTTGGTGTACTCATCATATACGAGCTCTCGCAACCTTTTCCCTTCTGTCGATTTGTTCGAAATGTTACTGCGTTTGTCGACCAGGTACTCTTCTCTTCCTAGGGGAGCTTTCTGCTTGGCCGCGGGCAAGGAACCCATGATGACACCGCCCACTTCATTTTCGATCAACTAATAGTGGTCACCACCAGAAGCACGTGAGGCTGGCGCATACAGTAAAAAAGCAACCCAAGAGGTTTTCTTTGCTTACCTGAGGTTCCATGAGTTGCCGCTCATGCGACTTTCTAGACCGAGAGTATCCATAAAATGTGCAGATGTCCATCCCACGAAACTCATCAACCTGTGAGAAGTCAAGGAGCTTATCAAGGAGCTCGCGAAAAGCAAAGAACTGAGTTTCGGGTAGATCATCGAACAAAACGGGCTTGTGCTCTTCATACTTCTGCTTCAATTCTTCTTTCAGCCGTTGCGACACGGTGACAAAGCATGCAGGTCGAGTTTGGTCATGTCGAGTCTTCAATGCCGCGTGTTGCAGAAGCACTAGTGTCTTTCCAGTTCCAGATCTTGATTCGATCAGTAGTGGAGGATCTGACATTGCAACTGCTGCTTGTGGCGGATCTAGTTCCAACATTCCCGAAGGAAGCTCTGGGAGTTTGCCGGATAGAATCGCGCGCTGTAGCCCATTGTCTAACTTCCAGCTAGTAAACATGGTTCCGTTTTCTTCCGGAGTTGGCTCGACGGAGTCTTTAACAACTCCGCTCATATCATCTTTGGGGGGTAGCGACCCGCTAGGGGGCTTGTGGTTCTTTTGTGCGAACCTTAGACAATCCTTCTTTTCTCCAGCGTAGTGAGCCTCGACTGTTGGATCCTCGCCAGACTTGTTTGCTCTCACTATCCAGACCACATAGAGCTCCTCGCTGCCCCCACCAGACAAACAGCTAAGCTTCCATCCTTGCATTGGTGGAACTCTGCCTCCTTTTAATGACTTCAGGTCTGGGGTTGCAATGGCAACGAGAGTGTTGAAACAAATGTTCTTCTTCCTATCATCCTTCATTTTCAGTACACAGTCATGAAAGCGCTGAGTCAAGGCCATCTTCCAGAGCATTGGTCTAGACCAGTCTGGGGGGCAAAACGGCAGGCCTTTGATCTGCGACTGGTGGATACACTGCGAATTTGAAGCATGCCTGACTAAAGCCTTCAACGTGGAGTTACCTGGCAAGTTCTCAAAAAAGTGTCTGTCTCCTACCACTCGCAGAATCCTTTTGGCACGGGTCAAGGCCACGTTCAGGCGCTGTGGATCATCGGTGAAGCCGACTCTGCGTGTTCGAACCGTGGTAACAATGACGATATCGGCCTCCTGCCCTTGAAAAGAATCAACTGTCGCAATCACGAGGTGACCTTTACTTCCGTTAGGTAGCTTAATTTGCTTTTGCAAAAGCAGCATTTGAGCCTTATAGGGAGTGATGATGATAACTTTCGTGTCGGCATCCCCATTCTGCAATATAGTCTTGATATCTTTGTCACTGCGCAGCATAATGTTGATCACTGCAACCTCATATTGATTCTGATACGAAGAATGGACGCTTTCTTCTCGTCCACGCTTCATGGTGTCTACAAACTGAAAGGGCTGTGCGACAACAGGCTCTCTTTGTAGGACATTGTTGCCGCTCTGGATGCGATTCTTGTAAAAGCGCTTGTTCGGAAATTCTAAGATTGCAGGGTCCATGCGGTACTGAGTGTCCAGCAGATGTAGATTGTTTGGGGACGCTTGGAAGACACGGCCAAGGAAGGAGTAGCCATATCCAGCAGCGGCGCAAGCTGGGTCAATCACAGTCGGCGCAAGCTGTTTCGGGTCTCCCATGATGACGAGGCGCCTCAGGCCAGGAAAGGTCGTGGCAATGAAAAACTCGGCCTCTGTGCACTGCCCACCTTCGTCCAACATCATGGTTGTAAACTGGGCACCTTCCAATGCCGTTTGGAGTGTAAATGAACCGGCACTGTTCAGTGTGCAGAAGACCACCCCAGCGCGTCCCAATAGCTGCTCCATGACCTTGCGTCCAGCTATTGTGGTGCTATCAGTATCATCCTCCAGTTCGATGTGGGGACAGATCCTGGACAGCTTCGCAAGCGACCAATCCAAGCTGCTATCAAGATGCAGCCACGAGACAAAATCCTCCAGTAGTTTGCCTGCCTTCTTGTTTGCCCTCGCTTTGCTCTTCTCATCTGGGGCTTCCTTTGCCTCGTCGCAAAGCTTGTCATAAACTTCATAGAACTTGGAATATCTCATGCTCCTATATTTTGGGTTCAAAAAGTGGACAGAAGAATCACAGTTTTCTCCGAAGACAATGAGTTGTCCAAACGGTGCTTGCCCTGTTGCATGCAACTTAATGGCTACGTTTGCTACGGCAGCATTCGAGGGAGCTGTTACAAGGATGCCGCCACCTCTTTGTGCTTGAAGAGCCGTCAGTATCATGCCAACCATGGTTGTCGTCTTACCAGTCCCAGGAGGTCCTGCCAGTCAAAGGGGAAGCAATGGTATGTGAGACAAGCTGCTGCTTGGTTCCAGAAAAGGAAAGCTTTATTCGTGGCAGAGACAACAACTCACCATGGATGCAAAGAAAGCCCTCGTCTAGGTGTGCGACAGCATCCACAGCCCTTCGCTGCGATGGATTCATCTTCTCGACAATTGATGATAACGGAGCTGTAGCTCCTCCAAAGAGCCGACCGAAGAAGGATGTCTTTGGTTCTGAAATACCGGCAACAGATAAGATGCCTTGTCGTTGCATAGCACTGGCAACGAGGCATATCCCTCTTCCTTTATCTCCTCTGCGGACTATTTTTCTGGCCTCGGAAAGAGCCCCCAAGACACGTGCTACACCTGCCAGACTGGCAATCTTTCGGACATGAGACTTGTCCGGTTTGATTGACCAAAAATGATGATCAGTGTTTCCATAATCGTCGGAAGAGGCCGATCCATTCCACCACAGAAGTTGCCTCTTGTACGGCACCACCACGGCAATCTTGCGGGCTGCAGATCTTCGCAATGTAGTGCTATCCAAAGTGATTTTCATGAGATATACGTCAAAGACATGTGGCTCGGCTTGATCGGACGCTTCCGTCGGCCCTTTCAAGTCTTGTCTGAGGGAAGCAACGAATTCTCGCTCTGTCATGAGTGCCAAGGTTGATAGGTCCTTCAGGGTCAACACTTTTCCATTTTCGCTCTCTAGTGGTGGAATAATGGCATCAGTGCTCTCATGAGAATAGCTGTGACTGATTTCCGAGAGGCAAAGATCGAATAATCTCGCATGAAATGGTGTAAAGCTCTTGGGGAGACCCAGCTCCTCGGCAGCTTCATAGGTATCAAAGGCTACGCCATCAGATTCCATTCTCGGTCGTTTCTAACAGTTCTTGATTGATTGATTGATTGATTGACATGCAAAATGAACTCAGGCAAACTGATCCATCGCCGGCAAATCTTAGTGAGGAGATGCTCTGCTTCGGCCAGCAGCCAGCTGGAAACTTTGCGTGGAGAATCCTTCGAATCTATGTAGAAAATGTACTACTAGCTAGTAGGTGGTAATGCCGGTAACTACCAGTGTTGGTCGGATGGATTTCCCGAAATACTTGTTTGGCAGATACCGCAACGCGGCACCTCGCTGGTGCTCCAGCCACCAGCAGCCACATACTCTAAACCCCCGACGCTTACAAACACCGTCATCTTACTCCTCTCTCGGAGCCTGAAGAGGCCGAGCTATAACTTGTACCACTTCGAAATTTTGGGCGTTGCTCAACCGGGAAGATGCGACAGCAGCATCCAGAGAAAAAAAGCCACGTACGGCATGGCCAAAAGTAACGGAGCCAATGTCATCAAAAAGATACTGTAGCTCGTAGCTCGTACCGGTACTAGTACGCACCGGTACAAGCAAGACTGGTACCGGTACGTCGTACCGCACCGCAATAAGCGAAATCCGGGTTCAGACAACAGTACTGGTACCGTGGTACCGCACCGCAGTGTACGAAGCGATACCGAGCCTCTCCTCTATAGTACATGTATGTAGACTAGTAGATCTAATAATTCAAGGCAGTGGGTCCTTTTTATCCGCATCAAACTTCTACCAGGAGACGGGAATCCAACCTATTGTCAACTTGGGACACAAGATCAAGCGATGCTGTTGCCGGTTGCGCTGTTCTTCAATCAATCTCTCTCCACAATCTCCTATGTTCCGGATGTAGACAAAGGAGCAATCAATGAAGCAATGCAGCTGCATGTACCAGGGTATGTTTGCTCATCGTAAGTAACCAGGTAGCTACTACCGGTATCATGGTATAACTCGCCTCTGTAGCCCCAACCATTAGTATTACTTGTACATCTAATCCGAACTGGCGGGTTTCATGTCTTCACAAGTAGAGGCAGAATGGGTGGCACTCATATCGATCGTCGCACTGTCTTTTCACGGGCAGGCCTCTTTCATTATTATTTCTCCTCTAGATCTGCTATTAATAGTACAGATATTCCAATCCTGTACGGTACATGCATTCCATCCTGGTTCAGAATCATTTTTCGTCATCGCAATTGTCGCACAACCTCCGACAGTTACAGATTCGGCAGTCTGCTCTGAGCTCTACCATTTCAGCTTTATCAAAGACACTCATGCTACAAACGTTGGATCCCACTCGACTGATTCTATTGTTTCGAATGTCAATGTTTGTAAGATACCAGATCGGTACCTGTGGATAGTCACCCCACCTGGGGAAAGGACCCGTCAGGTCGTTGTCATTCAGATAAAGTTGCTTTAGCCAACCTTTGCCGATTGCTGGGAAATCCGAAGGTATAGTTCCGTAAAAGTGATTATGATCAAGGTAAAGTGTTCTCAAAGTGATCAATCGGGATGGCCAGTCGCTGGGAATGGTAGATTGAAATTCATTGTTCGACAGGTCCAAGTAACGCAAATGACCTAACCTCATGCCTTCTGGGACTGTTCCACTCAATTGGTTGTGATGTAGTATCAGCCATTCTATGGTGTCAATTGGGATGCGAGGAAGAAATAGAGTCAGTTGAGAGACACACAAACAAGACTCCAAACGATGATTGATGGCTCTTGTTGGAACCAACAAAATGCCCCTAACCAAACAAACTTACGAAGAGGTCGGTCAGTATTGTTTTGCCACAGCCCGATGGGCAAGGATCCCGTTAGTTCATTCTTGCCCAGATAGAGCCGTTCCAGTCGGTTCAATTGGCTAATGCGATTTCGTATCCTACCCGAAAAGTGATTTTCAAAAAGGTATAGATTCTTGAGGAACCGTAGACTGTAGAATGTATCTAGAGAGCCACTAATGTAGTTTTGCGCAAGGTCCAGAGTTTCCAATGCAGGCAGGAGACTCAATTCGCGAAGGACAGATCCGGAAAGTCCTCGCCGGGCCCAATTAATCGTCCGGACATGGGCTACCCCACCAAAGTATGCGCAGGTGACTCCATCCCAGTAGCACTCGTCCGTGTTGGGGTCGGTCCAAGTCAGCCTTCTAGGATCATTGTCATGGAAGGCAAAATCCAAAGCTACCAGTGCATATCGTTGCAGCAGCGTGGTTGTTGTGGTGGTATCGTAATAGTAATCATAGTAGTTGTCACGTCGTTGCAACCATCGCATTGCTTGAAACTGTGGAGTGCCAGGTTGGTAGATGATATCTCCAGACGCTTCATAGAGCACCTCTGCCAGTGTCCGGGTGATGGTGGGTGCCATGGTGGGTTCCCAAGTTGGAAATTCTGTGGGTGGCAGTGTGGAAGGATCGTAGGTTGTTGCCCAGTAGTCTGCTTCTGTGTCGTATACCGAAGGAGTTATTGTAGCTGACAGCTCCTCATCCTCATCTACTAGTAAGTGACACGATCCATCATCTACCAGAGGCTGACAGGTGCAACCAAGATCACAGATGATCATGTCGGCGTCTCCATAGCCCAATGTAATGCTGGCATGCGGCCCTGTACTCACGTAGACTTCTTCGTCCACATTGGGCAGTACATGAGGAACATGAATGAAGTTAAGCATGAACCTATCGCATCCACCTTCCAGAGTGCACCCTCGAATGTTGCAAACCATGTCTTCCTCGGGACAGACGTAATACCCTGCTGCCGGTTGGAAGGCTACCGTCTCCTCCGAATGGCTGATTCGAACCTCTAACATTGATAACAACAACAAGAAGCCAACAAGGGAATTGCATTGTATCCTTGTTCTGCCGATCATCATGGTCGTTTGGTTGTATCCAGTATTACTAGATAGCTAGCCAGTTATGATAACGATGCTGGTATGGTAGCAACAAGGATAAAAAAGTGAGAAACAAATGACGAAAACTACCCGTTGTTCCAATTTCAAATTCAAGTTTCCCCTTCCCCGTTCTTGACCCCTTTTGTGATCCCCTTTTGTGATCCCCTTTTGTGATCCCCTTTTGTGATCCCCTTTTGTTTCCCACCTCCGCTTCAAAAGGAAAAAATAATTACCGGAGCAGCAGTCTCAAAAGAAAGTTGTATCAAGCCAATTGATTTGGTTGTTGTTGGTGTCTAGCTTGGCACTTCTGGAAGTGTTGAAAGAAGCAGCTAGACTACTAGCTCTAGACCATGTCCTCTGGCCACTATCCGTTCCACCATCATCCTCTTGGAGGAGGAGGAGGCGGAGAGGATCCTCATCATGCCCCACCGCATCCTCGAGACTCTCGCCATCCGTATGCGTTGTATCCTCCACCACAGCAACAGCCTCAGCAGAGATTGGAGAATATCTTTCAGCATCCAACGCGAGCTCATCATATTCAGCAGCAACAGCCAGTGGCACAGCTTCACAATGAGCACCCTAGAGGAAAGCGGCTACAACCCCGACCGCTGTATCCTACTGGTTTGGAAGCCGAGCCAGCGGCCGTCCAGGCTCTTCAAGGATTACATCAGCAACAACCACCACATCACGACAGCATTGCCGTGGCGGCGGTGGATCCACCAGGCGCCAATGACGACGACCATAATGATGATGATGACCACGAAGCAGAAGAAGACGACACCAAACAAGCTGCGGCTGCTCCGAAGAAAAAACGCAAAAAGGATTGGCGTGATTATCCGCGGTACGATTTCAACAAGTCCCAAGGGCGAAAACGATTAAAGGCGAGTGAGGAAGCACTGCAGGAATCCAAGGACGCCTTGGCCGCGGCCAAACAGACGTACGACCAAGCCCTGGCGGCTCAGAAAGAACGACAAGAAAACTATCAAAAAGTCAGTCAAGAAGTCATTGATGAGTTGCTGGTGACAGAGGCTCCCAGACCCTGGACAAAAATGTACTTGAGAATCAGGGCATTCTATGAAAAACATGGACATGTCAACATGTCCACAAGAGCATCCACCGCCAAACGCAAAAAGGCCAAGGCCAAAAAGAAGCAGCTGCTGCAGCAACAACAAGACCAGCCGATTTTAGTCACTGTCCCTAACAAAAATAAAGGAGACACTCAAGAGCCACCAGGGACGGAGGATACACCGCAAGAGTCACCAGAAGGGCAAAATCAGGAGGAATCAGTAGAAGACACCAGCGACAAGGATAAAGACAAAACCAATGAGGAGACAAACAAAGGCAGCACTGATGCCAACAGTGACGACAACAATCACAAGGACAAGGGTAGTCATGACCAAACAGCTACCAATGAAAATGCGGTGGCGGGGGACGAAGACGATGCTGATGCCGAAGAAATTGGTGCCCTCGGTCGATGGTCGGCCTTGCAACGAACCCATAGAAACAAGGGAAACCTGGAGGACTGGAAAATCAAAGCTCTGGATCGATTGGGGTTTGCGTGGGATGCCCGCGCCGTCACTTGGAACCAAAACTACCAGGAGCTCAAGGAATTTCACAAGCGTCACGGACACGTTCGTGTCTTGCCCAACCTGAACTCCTCTCTCAATCGATGGCTACGGTTCCAACGAGACAATTACCGGGATTTCAAAGCCAATGGCTTTGTTGAACGGGATGATGACATGGGCATGAACAAAAAGAGATGTGAACTGTTGGAGGCTCTGGGGATGGATTGGAAGAGCCACGACGAACGTTGGATTGTACTGTTTCACAAGTTGCAACAATTGGCAGCTTCACAGGGACATTTGCGGACCATTCCGGCTGCCAAGTGGCAGCTCGTGCGCTTTGCGGAACGACAGAGACAAGCCTACAAGGCATTCACCGAAGGTGAAGGGAGTAATGCTAAGAGTGCTGCCGGTGAGGGAGAACTGACACCGGAACGAGTCTTACTGCTCGAATCGATCCAGTTTCCATGGACGACCGAAGAGGATGACGGCGATGAAAAGAAGGGCAACACTGCCAATCGCCTTTTGTTGGCAGGAACGCCAATTACCACCACCGCCATTGAAGCAGCCAAACTGAAGCAGCAACAGCGGCAGTTCAAGCAGCACCCGCATCAGAAGCAACCTATCGATGACGGCTGGATGTTGAATTATCACAAAGTGAAGGCTTTCTTCTGCAAGCACCATCACTTCAACTATGCCGACGAAGCGGCGTCCAAGACCTTTTTAGACCACGAAATCAAAAAGATGCAACAATGGGACAAACAACAACGTCGTAAATACAAGCAATACATGAAAGAAACAAAGGCTCCCAAAAATGACGATGCGCCCTTGACGAAGGAACGAGTCGAACTGTTGGGTGTCTTGGGGTTCTTCCAACCCAACGAAGAACGGGAAGCTGCCTATCAAGTGGCAATCTTGCGTCGCTTTCACGCCATGCATGGACATGCCAACGTCATGAACGACTATCCCGACAATACGCTTTGGCAAAAGCTGGCCGACTGGGCCCAAAAGCAACGCGTTGAATACCGCAAGTACATGGGCAAACCAACCCAAAGTGAAAGTGATGGTGATACTGGGAGTGATGCTCCCGCTACAGCCGCCAAATGTAATCACCTGAAAGAGGCCGCCGTCACAACCGCGAACGGCGGCTCGGCGTCCTCTCGGAATATCCCTCATGAGTCAGTGGAACCGTGCAGTCTGACATGGGACCGTGTCTATGAAATGACGCAATTGGGCTTCAACTGGGACTTGCCACCGCCGCCCAAGAAGAGTGCAAGCAAAGAGCACGGAGCTGCTGCCACTGCTGTTCCCAAGTCGAAGCGAGGGGCTGACTCTCTTACAGGGGAGCCAACTGAAGAGAATCCACCTGTCAAGCGGAAGCGGGGTCGGCCCCGAAAGCACCCACTGAAACCAACAACGCAGCGAGAAACACCGCCACAGGCAACAGCGGAAGCAAAAGAAAGTACGTAAGCCGTCGGATTGATGGTGCAAGACTGGACGAGTGCAGTAACTGAAGGACGGAGAACAAGCGGTAGGATGTGTGAGTTGGATCTTGCTTACTGGTAGGCGACGGGATTAGCTAGATGAACGCAACAGACGCAACATACTAAGTCTTGTAGTTGAAAAAATCGTACATAAAGTTAGCCATGCTACCAATGAAATCAGGAGCAACGACTGTCTTGAGCCTGCTACCGTACGACACAACTGCTTCTCCGTAGGCCTAGTCCTACCTAGACATGCAGCGAAGAAAGCAAAGGCCAGTCTTATTAGTAGCTCCTGGCCATGCATAATTTCTGTGAAGAGGAAGTAGAGAAGATAGTCCGGCCCCTCTTATGATTGGTTGACTTGGTACTGGTATACCGTACGGGTGGACATCCTTCGTACGAAAGTGTTCCTCGCATCGCAGAGACGCAGTGAACTGCCCGAGATGCCCAACCAATGAGGAACAGCGAAGGATCTTCCGTGTATACTCAGCGTCGAAGTTTCCGGCAATCGCGACGGCATGTCATGCAAATCGTAGCGGCTCAAGGCAACGCCATGCCAACCAACCAGAAGTGGTTCAGGCGACGGTAGCGGTCTCAATAAATCCATGTTCAGCGACTTCGAAGATGCACGTCCACGAACGAAGGAGGTAAAATACAATGAACTCTACGTCTTAACTTGAGGGATATTTGATGTTTTCCTCTGTCAACGTTGCTGCATAAAGCATCCAAGGGTGTTTCAACGCCTCTGATGCGGACGGTCTCGAGTCGGGGTCAATCGTCAACAGCTTCTTGACGAAATCCACGAACTGAGCTTGTCTTTCTTCTGTGGCGGACAAAGTTGCACCGGACACGTATCGTTCGTGGAGATCAGCCGCGAATCCCAATCGAGACCCTAACGAGGTCACCTTAGGTTGGAAGATATCAAAAACAGCCCTGCCGCCTCTTCCTCCGATATCCGAGTCGTCTTCCTCGTCTTCATCTTCGCTTGCATCCGGTGTTTTCTGCCCGTCCTCGCCTTTCACCTTTTCAAACAAGAGCCCACATTTAGTGAAGAATCGACAGCTTTGCCGACCCTGTGCAATCATGTGTCGAGGAAAAGGCCCGCAGATGGCTTCGATTCTACTCAACATGGAAACAATCGAGTCGTTTTGGAAAGTCACTTCTCCGGTCAACATTTCGGCAACAACGCAACCCAAGGACCAGACGTCAATCTTCCCGTCATACGGCAATCCGAGAACCACTTCTGGAGCGCGATATGACCGAGATTGGATGTAGGAGCTCTGTCGATCCGTCAAATAGCAACTGCTACCAAAGTCAATCAGTTTAACTTGCGCTCGGCTGTAGCTTCCCAGCAGAATATTTTCAGGCTTGACATCTGAATGAACCAATCCCAAATTGTGGACAAAACGCAATGCTATCATACACTGCCGTGTAATGAAACCCAGCCGCGGCAGTGTGAAGTAGGGCTCTTCATCGTGATCTAGAATGAACTTCCCAAACTCGAACAAGTTCTGACGTAGCAGTTCCGTAACAATGATCAGGTGCTCCCGATGGTAAAAGAATGTCTTCATTTCGATGATGTGGTTTTGGTGGCACTTTCCTGTTTGCCGTAGCAACTCTAGGATCTTGATTTCGTCTAGCGACTGGTCAAAGAAGTCTTTGGTGTTCTTGATAACTTTCAGGCAGACCTCTTGGTGACCCTGTAAGCAGAAGAATGCGCACACATAAGGACTACGCTGACGGACAAGAACAATTGGTTCCGGGAGTACTTACATCTTCTGTGTCGTCGCCTTCCGAGTTCAAATCAACACAGCGATAGGCAGTGCTGAATGCCGCACTTCCAAGTTCACTTTCCACAAGATACTGGCCAGCTACGACATTGCCAGGCTCCAAAAATAAATCTTTTGTTGGTTCAAAACCGGTGACATGGGATTTGAAAATCACGGGCAAGTGAAAGTATTCCAAATCCCCCATTTCTCCCTTTCCAGCAGAGTGGACACCGGGGAAAATAGGATGGCAATCACCTGCTGACGAAATGCCTTTTCCGCTAATGCCTTCGGCATCGCTCTCTCCATCGCTCTCACTGATTGTTGGATTTGGCGCTGGGACGGTGCCATTTCCATCTTTTTGAGTGCCCAACTTGAGGGTTTTCATGATGGCGGTGGTTCTATTTTCTTCTTCGCGATCCAGCGCCTTTTCGGCGACAGCCAAATCCCTTTCAAAAGTATCGTCCACTTCGCCATTGCCACCTTCTGGTTGGCTACTTGCAATAAGATTCTGTTCGGAATTCTTCTTCAGACCGTGCACCATGCCCGAAAAAGCGCGCTCAACTCGTTGCAATTGTTGGTTTGTCAGTCGAATAATTCTGTAGCCTGCCTCATTGGGGTTGGAATCATCCCAATGGGGAACTTCGTCTAAGAAACGATTGGATTGGTCGACGCCAAAGGGAAGCAGATGTGCGCAAAGTGATCTCATCAGTTCCCCTGCTTCTTCGTCGACCTCTTCGTCGCTGGAAGCGGACTGATCTATGCTTTCGACGTCATCATCATCTTCGTCGTCATCATCATCTTCGTCGTGTTCGTCTGTGTCCAAGTCCAAGTCAGTAGCATACTTGTCACGACCAGAGGAAGACTTCGATGAGTGCTGCTGCAGATGCAACGCCGCAGCCTTTTCGTCACCAGAAATCGCCGATGCCACAAGCGTCATGGCATTGGACAACGAATCAAAAATTGATCGCTCTCCCGAGGAACGATCGGGGGAGAGGTTGGACTCCAAAACGACCCCCGTTGTCCCGCCGGCCTTTTTGCTCAGCGGACCCAAAACACCTTCCAATGCATCATCAAGGTCGTCATCACTTTCGTCGTCTCCCTCATCATCATCGTAGCTGTCGTCGTTATCGTCTCCGCCATCATAGGAATCCGATGGGCTACGAGAATGAGAATCCTCTTCCTCGTAGTCTTCATCTTCATCGGCCTGGTCGTCGTCGTCACGAGCCGGTTCTTCCTTTTCGGCGGGTGCCGTAGACTTGCCCAGTGTTTTCAAAACCAAGTCATCTAGTTCCCTGTCAACTTCGGAGGCATCCGCGCCCTGGTCGGAACGAACAGCTTCCACACCGGTCGAACAATTCAACAGGTCCTCCGCCCTTTTATTACTCTCATTCCCGCTGTGACCATCGGATGATTGGTGCTGATTATCTGCCACGGATTGCGGTTGTTGAACGTGTGGTTGCTTCTGCTGCTGTTGTTGTTCGCCAAATGATTCTGCCTCAGCTAGTAATTCTTCCACCACAGAACGCTTAGCCCCTGACGCCAAACTGATCTGGTCATTGGTGCTGTTGCTGTTGGTGTGAGAGTGAGTACGATGGCTGCTGTAGCTGTCAGTGGGTGGCCTCACCGTGCTAGGTGGTTCTTGCTGTTGTTGTTGGGAGCCCATCGACACGACACTGGCTCCACCACCGCCACCGCTCGATGACAATAATTCACCCACGGCTCGCAACAAGGGATCTTCTGCTTCGGATCCTACTGGCTGTAGCGGTTGTTGCGAGGACGAAGAGGGGGCCAAAAACAGTTGATCAGCGGACGGTGATTTTTTCTCTTCTCCTTGCCAGGAAGAAATGTCCGGTTGTGCGGTCGTTCGGGGGTGGTGATGATGATTGTTGCTGCCGCTACTACTGCTGCTGTAATGCGAGCCATGAGAGGCGGCAGTCTCGATGGTAGCAGACTGTTGAAGTTGAACACCTCGTCCGTTGCTGTGCGCTCGTTCCAGGATAGCCAGCAAGACTCGTTCGACGCTCCGATGCACTTCTTTGGGGTTGTTGGGGTTGTTTGCTCCTTGCTGTTGTGGATTGTAGTGCGAGGCCGACAGGGACGAAGCACTACTGGCCAAATCACCCGAAGGGCAGGTAGACGGAATACCCCCACCATTACTCATCGACATTGAGAGAGCCGGTGCCTGATGTGGTGACAAGGAAGACGACGCCATGATGCGCTGTTGTTGCGACTGAAAAGAGGAACTGGCAGCCAAGAGTTGATGTTGATCCATCGAGTTGGAGGGCAAGGACGAGAGCATGGACCCATCTTCCTCTTCTTCAATGGTGGACGCCGGTCGATTGAGCATGGTTAAGGGTTCTTCTCCATTTTTCAATTCGGCCAATCTCGAGGTATACCGTGCCATTCGTTCTTGCCGTTCTTTTCTCCTGGAATCAAATTCTTCTTGATTTTGGAGTGGACTTTCCCACCGGGACTGCAAGACTCTATCGGCATCCCGAGGTGTCTTGGTATTGTTAACGACGTTCATGTCGATGGCCAATGCTGATGGTTGTTGTTCTGGATCCGTCGTGTTACTATTATTATTTGTCGTGGTGGGCGCCAATTGATGTTGCCCTGGAGAAGGAGGTCGATGTCTGCGGAGAAGATCCAATGCTTCCCGAATGGCATCTTCGTAGGGATTGGGCTGTTTGCTATTCATGGGAGCACAAGTAGTGGTTGTAGCAGCAAAAGAGGGAGGAAGATTGCCATTAGTGGTCTGCATGACAGTGGTAGCAGGTCGTTGGAGAGAATTGTGAAAATCAGGGTGATAATCCGATCTCGTAGTTCCCCTGGCCGTCGTGGTCATCAATGGTTGATGAAGATGTTCATTGGGTAAGGTCTCAGCAGCATCTTGAAAGACTTCGGGTGGCGAATCTTGGCTGCTAGTGTCATGAGACGAACCAGACGCTGCCTGATGAAGTTGTTTGTTGTTGGTGCTGCTAGTGTCGGGATGACATTCCTTCATGAGATTATACCTCATTTGTTCAGTGTCTTTGAGGGATCGAAGAATCTCTACCGAATCCATGTTGCTGTGCTGTTCTTCTTGCGTTGCTTCATGGTGGCTGCTGCTACCTGCTGGTTGTTTCCTAGTCGGGGTATCCTTGTCTGACTTATTGCTGTGATTTCTAGCCCTTGCAGCAGCCGCTTGAACAGCTCGTTGTTTCTTTTTTTGAGCCGATGATGTCAAACTACTACTGTTGCTTCTCTGGGGTGTCCCAGCAGCAGGTGTAATAGCTTTTCCAGCACTAGTCGATCTGGAAGTTGGTTTTTGGCTCGTTTCCGAGGTGGATAAAGCAGTATTAGTGTTCGAAGTGACAGCAGGTGTTCGTTTGTTGTCGTTATCTTCCGTCACGAGGAGTGTGTGAGGACTCCTGCGATCATCTTCAATCTTGCCGACGCCTGTCTCTCCTGCAATATAAAAGTTAAAGCGCTGATGTTCATTGCTGCTGCTGCCGCTGCTACCAATGGAGTTGAGTACACTGTTGGTACTGGCATTCGCCGCCTTGTCGCCGTCGACTGGTTTGTTTTTATCGTCCTTGTTGCGAGCATTGTTGTTGGTATTGCTGTTACCAGTGGTGGTGGTGGTGTTGATATTTTGTTCCTCCATCTGGACCTCTTCGGCATTGTAGAAACTAAAGCGCGTCTTGGTTGAGTTGGATCCAACTGAAGTGACATCATTGTTATTGCTCAAGACACTGCAGCTCCCACCGGATGTGACGGCGGGTAGCTCTTCCACTCGAGAAGAACGATAGGGAGACGCACTCGATGAACTGCTCATGGTCATCTTCTCACAACCAACACAGTTATCACTCTCTTAATAATCCAACACAACCAAAAGGTATAAAGGTAGGTCTGTCTAAGATAAAGGATACTCTTGATCCGATACTGAGATGGGTAGCCAATGTGACTTTTTGCTGTAATTCGCCGAGACCCAACAGTCAGTCTGAGAGACAGAGACCTATCCTCTCTCCCAGCCACACCTAACAGAGGGGCTACAGCAAAGCAAGAGGAGCAATGCACAGAACTCCTGAAACTTTTAGACTACAACAAACAAGAAGGAGTGATTTTTGCCAATAATGAAATGGATGAGGCCGTATTTCCACCATGGCCGTGCATGCAAGCTGCCCTTGGTTGCGGGGTTCAAGGATTGCGTTGCGCACACCTCCAGCGCATTTAGTTCAACGAACACTTGCCAGCTTATGCTTGTATTAGAGGATTAAGATAATTAAATGATGCGCACGAGGTGACACTTTCAACGATCACGCAAAAGCAAAATGCTACCGTACCGCAAGCTACTTTTTTCACCCGATCCCCGCACACTTCCGCACCTCTACAGCTGTACAGAATCTAACTAACTGATACCGTACCGGTAGTCCATGTCATGCGAATCCTATCTAGTAGCTTTAGTTAGAATACCGTAGTAGCAGGAGAGGTATCATTTACATGTATTGGAGTGTATACTAGCTAGTAATGTCTGTCTTTTTTAAAAGGATGCTGATCGAGCGAGTTCCTCCCGTCTAGATAGATGTATGTCGAAACTCTCAGACTCCTCGTCGGGCACCGCAATGCGCAAGTCAACGAGCACCGTCTGCGCACATTGCAACCTGTACTTGCTATAATAACCCGACTGCGTGGCTACATGTACCTGGTAGCACTGGTGCGCACCAATTGGAGAGGAACCAAACTTGTGGTATGCAAACTGTCGCTCATTGGGGCCTTCCAATACAACCGGTACCGCAGCTAGCTAGGTGGAGAGATCTATATCGTCGAAGAATCAAATCCAACACCCATCCCAAGCGTGACGTTCTTGGCTTCCTTCGTTCCGGCGCCCCCTCTCGTATGTTGGAGCTGCAAAGTTATCAAGTCATATTATGAGATCACCAGCCAAGGTGACATCCAAGAGCGTTTTCTTCTAACAGCAGATTTAATCATTAATAATTCTACACAGGACCCTCTTCCCTGCTCCACTGTATTGTTGTCTCGAGAGCACAAAATGCTGCAAGATCTCTATGCGTCAATCATGTCAAATCAATCATCTTTGGGGATACAGTTGTTGGGATGGTCAAATTCACGCTTTCCCAGTTTGAAGTCTCTCAGGTTCTCCATAGTCGTCTGAGTGATCTTGTTGACAGCTTCCTTGGTGAAGAAGGCCTGATGGGCTGTCATAACCACCCCAGGTTCACCCAACAGTGCCGTTAGATCTGGATCTTGAATCCTCTTGGCAGACCAATCTTGGAAGAAATATTCTTGCTCATTCTCATAGACATCCATTCCAACCCCAGAAATGACACCAGTGCGGAGTCCTTGCAACAAGGCCTTGGTATCGACCAGACCACCACGTGATGTGTTGATGAGCATCATGCCCTTTTTCAGTTTGGGCAAGACATCCATGTTCAGAGTATGTCGTGTAGCGGGCAAGAGGGGCATCATAAAGAACAAAATGTCACTCTGAGCAAAGATTTCATCCTTTGTCACGTAAACACCACCGGCCTTTTTGACTTCTTCATTTTGAAAGACATCATAGCAGATAAGTTTGGCTCCAAATCCCAAGATGATGTTGCAAAGAATTTGACCAATCTTTCCAGTGCCCATGACACCAACTGTCTTCCCGTGAATATCAACTCCAAGGAGACCAGCATCCAGAGAAAAGTTGGCCATTTTGACTCGATTGCTGGCTTTGGATGTTTTGCGATTTACGGCCATGAGCAATGCGATGGCCATCTCTGCAACAGCATAGGGACTGTAGGCGGGGACTCTTGCCACTGTCATTCCGTATGCTCGTGCTGCTTTGGTATCCACACGATCAAACCCAGCCGCTCGTTGGGCAATCATGTTCACCCCCAAACGACTGAGAGTTTGGATGGTACCAGCATCGGCCGTGTCATTGACAAAGGTACAAATCGCTTCATATCCTGGGAGATTATTGCGGTAAGGAAGAAGCTTTGTGAGCAGCATGCATGCCATAATGATGGTGTTGTGACACCTAGTTTCCTGGGCTTACCTGCTGCGTACGTTGCACTCTGCGGCCCCAATCGTTCCGTGGTAAAGTCTATCATCATCTGAAAGGAATTTTCAGGATCTGCATTAAATGCCTTGACGGCAGGCTGAAATGCATCCGATACCCACGAGGTAGTATCATAGCACAATACTCGCAAGGTTTCTTTTTCATTCTCTCCGTCGCCTCCCACACCTTTACTACGGAGTTGGCCCATGACAGCTCGCAAGGATTTGCTGCCTGTTCGTAGTTCGGTGGCCATGTTTCCCATGATATCAAACATAAAGACTGGATTGGAACTCAAAATTTCTCGAAAATCCTCGGCGTACATGATCCAAACTTTGGAGGGCGTCTTACTGGTGACAGTGGCAAAGGCATAGGAATTCTCCGAGACAATGTGCAACAGTCCTGTGACACGTCCATGACCTTCCACAATATCTACCACAACCGCATTTTCTTTAATGGCACTGCTCACTTCTGCAGCCTTCATGTTGCGCAAAGACTGGCTGAGGGTGGCTCTACGCTTGTGGCCAGGATGCCCCCCGCCCTCCGCATCATCGACCACATGCATCTTGGTACGGTACAAGCTGCCCGACTCGAGAATCATTAACTTGTCCACAGGAAGACCTTCCGAGATAAACACATGACCTTCGCTGACATCCACCAGCTCCAGCTTGGCGGCCAGTGCTTGGACCAAGTCATCACTGCATTTGGAAAACCAAGTGGTGCTCTTGAGAATCTTGATGGCTGCTGGGTTTGACATGTTGATTGATTGATTGATTGATTGTTGATTTGTTGTTGATTTATTGTTGTTGTGTTGTTGTTGTTGTTGATTTGTTTTTATGACCACAACGTATTGCTGTAGCAACTTTACCAAGCCAAAACAAGTGCTGTAGTCACATCAGATGCAGGTTGCAGACCACCAAGCCAACCGCAAACTCCGTGCTGTCGAAACTTTCAGAAGCGAAGCAAGAATGAGAGAAGGATCTTCCGCAAAGATCCACGTCGATCTGTTCTCTTTATTTGTTATCTCTAACCTTACATTGCCAAGTCTTGGTTTTTGCGTGGAAGTCATCCTGATGCCAGAATCTGTTACCGTTTGTTATCTAGTCACCGTTGGCTAGCTAGCTAGCCAGTCAAGATTACTTACTTGCACCCACAATCTCCCTCCCCTTCTTTCCCTGCTCGTATTGTATTGGTGCTTCGATCTGGATTCCCCTACAATATACACTAACGTCAACACACCGCTCACCAGACTAATAAATGACGGCTACAAGTCGAAGTCCAAAGGGGACTCCTCCCAGAACTCCCTCCAACCCATCCAGTATGACACGACGGTCTGCGAATGCATCAACGTCCTCTGCGTCCATTGCCAGATTGGTGATGAACCACAGTGTGGCAATATTCTTATGCTTGGGTGCTTTCTGGGGTTTCTGGCTCATGTACCTGCCCGTGCCAGATGGGATTCCGGAAGGTCCACACGATTTCATCACCACGGCGACTCGATCCTCAGCGACCAAACCAGCAATTCCAAGGAGTGCGGCATCCGACGTACAACAGAAGAAAAAGACGCATACGACAACAAAGTCAGCTCCCTTCTTGAAACCCTTTCAAGAAGTAATAGAACGAGCCCAGAAAAACCAAAAACATTGTGGCCAGGTCATTCCCGACGATGGGATTCCGGAACCAACCCAGGACGTGATTGCCATTGCCAACATGACCACGGCGCGGCTCCCCGGATTTGGAGTCATTGATGCCTTGCAACAGTGGCAGCAAGATCCACAACCACCCAACCATTTAGCGAATGGAGCCACTAATACGCAATGTCAAATACCCCCGGAAAACGAGTGCTCCGAATCTCAGTTTTCGGTGATTTTCATGGCGTACAATCCTGATCGACTTGCCAAATTTCTACGACAAATCAAGTCCATGCTCGATCGCAAAGATCCGTTTGCACGTATCATTCGGGAGATTATTCTCGTCTGGAATGGACCACGCGAGATTTCCGAATCTCCAGAAGGACAAAAATTACTCGAGTTTGTCCAACAAGAGGCAGACCGATTGAGAGTGGTATACCCACTCAAGGAGGGACTTCCCAATGATCTCATGAATCGATATCATCCGGATATTGTCAAAGTCAAAACCAAAGGTATCCTCTACTATGACGATGACGGACCCTTTTATTCCTATGAAGCCGTCTTGGGTGGATTCGAACTGTGGAAACGAAACAGCAACGCCCAGATTGGAGCCATGGCGCGAACCATTGACTTGGGACCTCGTCAACAGGCCGAAAAGAAACATATTCTGGGGTCGGACCGTCTCAATGATAGGGCATTTGTGTCGCACTGCAAACCCGATGATGTCGAATACAACTTTCGATACTTTGCCAACTTTGAGGCCAACATGGTATTACCCAGTGGCAGTTTTCTGCATTCCAATTATCTGTGTTTTCTCTGGCATCCTGCCTTTGAACCCATACGAGACTATGTGAAAGCTCATCCCGTTCATCCCGATGATATTACCGTTTCCATGATGGTATCGCAGTTGGCGGGACGAGCTCCCAAGGTCTATTCCCGGCGGATCAATATGGAAACAAAGGAGGCGCAGATGCAAGAAGCAGCGCGGTTGAGAAAAGCAGAACAGCGACGACGATTGCTGTTCAACATTAATTGGGACAAGAATCACAACATGGACGACGATAAGGAAAAGTGGGCACAGTTGCGATCGGGTGCGATCAATTCGTTGGTGCGGTACTTTGGCAGCATGAACTCGGGGAGTACAGGCTGGTGTTTGGGTACGGAATACCACAAAAAAGACAAGAATGGCGACGACATGTGTTTTCCCGACATGGCCCGGTTTGGCAAACTCCCATGGCTCAATATTGACCATACACAAAAAGAAACCTGTCCGTAGGAGTTCGACTCCGTCCCTGCAGGGTTTGTTGGCATGCCCGAACATGTACCAGTAGTTTAGTACGTCTATATACTCATAATAAAGGTTGGATTATCTTCGACTTGCAATAGGTGGCATCCCAACGGCGCATGCTTCATTACAGAGCTCCTTGAGTAACGTTTACCTGCCTCCACGTCTATGAAATATAGTCTTTGGTTCATTTTCACTACCTTCATTGATGCAATCTGTCAAATGGGGATGGAGAGCTCAAATAATGTGGCCCTCACGGCGAAAGAATCGTAGCAAGCACCGCGCTCGAACGGAAACATCTGCACTTCCGCGGAGTCGTTGCATGTCACCGAGAGGAACGGATGAAGGGTGCCGCGAAATCCCAATGGCAGTTGGTGGAGGAAACTGAACAACTACTTGCTACGCCAAGCACAACCGGGCGCGAGGATCTGGTGTGGGTTACATCGACGCCATCCCAGTAACGCAACACCGCCGCATCCTACCGTACAACAAGGAAGTGCTCCCATGCAAACAACATAGAGTAGGAGATTTGGAATCATAGGCGAGCAAAGAGAAACGTAGCATACTTGAATATTGTCTAATAGCAATCAGTGTGAAAGCTTAGTTTTCTAATCAATAAAAGAACCCACCCAGTAGAGGATAGTGATGGATTTCACCAGGGCATCCGTGTTCTTGAGCCCACTTGACAACCTCCAATTGGTTATTGTGTCGTGCACGCACAACTGTCCAGCGATCCCAAGGACAACCATTTTTTCTTGCCCACTGGAGCATTTCCAGGTTTCCATTGCCAGCAGCCGCAGCACATGTTTCAGAGCCCCATGAACATCCATTTGCTCTTGCCCACTTGAGTACGTCTGCATGCCCCCCTTCGGCAGCTTTTGCGCATGTCCTGGAATCCCAGGGACAGCCATGTTCTCTGGCCCATCGCAGCACTTTCAAATGCCCACCAAGAGCAGCAGCCCAACATGTTACTTCATTCCAAGGACAGCCATTTTCTCTGGCCCACTTCAAGATCTCAAAACGGCCATTGCTGGCAGCCGCAGTACATGTCCCTGCATCCCAATTGCATCCATTCTCTCTAGCCCACTTCAAGATCTCCAAATGGCCCTTCTTGGCGGCATTATCACAGGTTGTTTTACTCCAAGGGCAGCCATTTTCCCTAGCCCACTTGAGTGTTGCTAAATGGCCACCAATGGATGCTTTGGCACATACATCGGCATTCCACGAACATCCATTTTCACTGGCCCATTTGAGGATATCCAAATGCCCATTGGCGGCTGCACGGGTGCATGTTGTGGAATCCCAAGAACAGCCATTTTCTCTGGCCCACTGGAGGATATCCAAATGCCCCTGCTCGGCAGCAAATGTACATGTCCAGCTGTCCCAAGGACAACCGTGTTGTCTGGCCCATTTGAGAATCTCAAAATGACCCGCTTGGGCGGCATTGGCACATGTCCTACTGTCCCAAGGACAACCATTGGCTCGCGCCCACTTGAGAAGCTCAAAATGTCCACCGGCGGCTGCCACGGCACATGTCTCTGTATTCCAATCATCACAGCCAATCTGTTCTCTGGCCCACTGTAAAATGTGCAAATGCCCTCCTTTGGCGGCACCCACACAGAGATTCCCCCACGGCAGTCCCATGTTCCGGGCCCATTGGATCACGGCGAGATTTCCCACTCTGGCAATGACCTGACATATATTGTAGCGACTCGGGAATGGACTGTTGGAATTGTGCCAGTGTTTGGCACATGCCACAGTGGAGAATGTCGCACTGTGGATTGTGTCTTTGCTGTTGGCCCTTCGTTTTTCGACACGTATTCCTTCGTAGGTTCCTTCCTTTTCTTCCATGACAGTTGGAGGATTCTTGACAGTCTCACAATATGTCTCGTACATGCCCTTCATTTGCTTGTTGACAGCACCGGCAAAGGCATACTGTCCCATGCCGACACATGGAAGAATGTCATTGACCCAAATATCTTTGCGATCCAAGAGCAGACTAATGGGAGGAGACGCCTTTTGCCTCTTTGGATTATCTGAGGGCGTGGATTCGTCCATTGGCTTCGTCTTGGTGTGGCTCTGCTGGGCCGACATGGTGATTGTGGTTGGATGCAGAGAAGGATACTGGTGGGGTGTCTCCCTTTTCTGTGAAATGGGTTGATGGGCGATGCAGTGATGCGGCCAATTGGAAGAACCGCGTGAATGCCAAAAAAGATTAGGGCAGGAAGGTTCGGCCTGAGGCCAGACGCTGGATCTTTTCACGCACCGCTGGCCATCACGAGTGCTTGAGTGCTTGAGTGCTTGAGTGCTTTACTGGCCATCACAAGTGCTTTACAGACAATGCTTCAGTTGGCTCGAGTTTCCCGCCCATAGAAGGCTGGTGTTGTTGTTGTTGTCATTGTCATTGGTGGTACAGTAGACAAGCTCGAGCATAAAATAGAATCGAATCAGTTCACAATACCAGCCAGCTATTCCAATACCATTCCCAGTGAATTTAGTTTTTTGCCGAGACCAGAAATAATGGCATCCAAGAAGAACAAGAAGGTCCGCCAGAAGCATCAACACCAACACCAACACCAACACCATCTCCCAAAGTGTCAACACCGTCAAAATTCCCAGCATGAAAAAGCACCAAGGAATGAAGTACCGCCTGTCATGCTCCGTGATCATGACAACCAGGCCGGGAATCGTACCAATGGTGTTTCGAACAAAGTCATGGGAAAAGAGACGGTGGTGTATGTGGACCAGTTCGATACATTGGGAATTTTGGAGGCAGCTCCCAGCCAGCTTCAAGCTTTGGTCCCAGCTTCTTGAGTTTCCCCAGCTTGGAGCTGTTGTCCCAGCTTAATGCTGTTGTTCCAGCTTTGACTTTTTCCCAGCTTGGAGCTGTTGTCCCAGCTTGGCAGCTCCCAGCTTGAAGCTTTTGTCCCAGCTTTGAGTTTTGTCCCAGCTTGGAGCTTTTGTCCCAGCTTGGAGCTGTTGTCCCAGCTTGAAGCTGTTGTTTTAGATTGGAGGTGTTGTCCCAGCTTGGAGGTGTTGTCCCAGCTTGGCAGCTCCCAGTTTGAAACTTTTGTCCCAGCTTCTTGAGTTTTTTCACAGCTTCGAGTTTTTTTCTTCAGCTTGGCAGCTCCCAGCTTGAAGCTTTTGTCTCAGCTTCCAGCTTTTGTCCCAGTTTGGAGCTTTCATCATCACACCCTCGGAGCTTTTGTCCTACAGCTCCCAGCTTAATTAAAGTTTTGAAAGTGCTACCCTGCTACTAGTAATAGCAAGCAAATAGACGGGCTGCAAGAGTTGATGCTGTCACATCTAAGAAGAGCATAATAGGGTAGCGCCAAACGGCGAGGTCAGTTGATGGTGTGGTTACCGATCTGCAAGCAAGGTTACCAGTCGATGGAGTAAGAGTATCAAACAAAGACCTAGCAATGCTATTGAATCGACATGGTTTTTACTAGTGTAATGGGTATGGTCTATAATGCAATCGTATAGTCTATTTGGTTGGTAATCGGCATTCTATTATCTTACCAGCTCACCACATCTATCGTACGAACCACCAAGTCGTCTCGTCGACTAAGCCAAATCCTCGAAACTGACTTGTGCATACAGGAAGATGGGTACCGACACAGACAGGAATTACAACCAAATCACTAGGAAATAACACTGGAGGGATGAATCCAATGGGAGGATCCACTCTCTTGTGTGTTGTCGTCGCCTTCTCTTGTTGCCTCTTCAATGACTCGACCACGTTTGTTCATGCTGTTGGTAGGGCTGGAGTTAACAGAGCCTCCTCCTCCGTAGCAGTAGCCTCTCATCTTGTTATCCGTAGCGATCGATCATTCGAAAAGGACTCGACGCAATGGTAGTTCATCGGCCGTCGGCAGTGCAGCAGAGAAAACAACAAATAGATATGAGTTTTGTTTTCTGTGCTCAACTGCAGAAAATCGGCGACTTACCCTTGCTTTTCAAATTGCACCAGCTTGGCCATAATGGGCTCCTTCAATGACACTCATGATAATAGGCTTACCTCAAATCGAACCGATCGATCGCTCCAACTAAGGCCGATTGGATAAGCACTCACCATTGTTGTTGGCCAAGCTTAGATTTCTCTCCTGTTTACCATATGAATGCAATGAGGGAGAGAAGTCAGTGCTGCGCCTTCAATAATAGACGTGATAATAGACTTACCTCTCGTAATAGCACTAGTAGTAGCGATCGACCGCTCCTCCTCCACCATTGTGCTGTTCTTGTCCTTGCTCCTGTGTTCGATCGAGTGAGGAGTGGGGCTCCTTTCGAAGAAGAGACAGCCGGGCAGGCTGTTCCGTGAAGCCTGTTTGAATATTTTATTGTATACAGAGAGTACTCTCCAACGATTCTTCCAAAAACAGCTTGCCCTCCTTATAAATCCAAGTCGCCCTTACGGAACAGAAGCAGCCCACCGCACATCAATCAAGGGCTTATTACAATCTGATAGATGCTTCACCTTGTTCAGTCAAAGAATCCACATTATGTCTTCCTAGCGTTTAAAGGAAACGGGTATTAAATCAATGAGTTCCCTTGGTACTTTTCAAACCATAACCAACAGTTATGGTTTAAAGTAGGCAGTAGTATTTCCCTTTCACCCAATTCGTACTAAATACTAGTGCATGCTTTAACCCACTGAAATGGCTTCAAGAAGGTCTCTTAATTGCAGAATCAGCTTTTGTACTCTTTGACCCTATTCAAAAGAGCCAAAGTAAATTGCACGAGCCACCCCCAGACCCCCTTCTATGTTTAAATCGTGAGGTGACCTCACAAATAGAAAATTAGGGCAGGAAGGTTCGGTCTGAGGCCAGCATTCAGTGGTAGAGTAAGGTAGATCTTTGGACGCACCTTTGACCATCACCACCAGGCAGCAAAATTCAAAAAGCAGCACCAGCACACCTCCGGCTCCAAACACCTCCAAAATGCCTGCCATTACTACAGCTGGTAGTATTATACTGGCAGTCAAGATGCCACCAACGACAGCAACTCTACTGTAGCACAAGTTTACCTCCAATAATGGCATCCAAAAAGCGTCGCTGCCATCAAATCCCAGCATGAAAAAGCACCAAGGAACGAAGTACCGCCCGTCATGTTCCGTGACCATGACAAAAGGGCTGGGAATAGTACCAATGGTGCTTCCAGAAAAGGGAAAAGAGACAGCACCAAGGAAGCACCAAGTGCAATACACGGCTCTTAGCCTTATTCGCGACTCGATCCTTGATAGGGTTTGAGTTCGACTCATGACTGAGTCTCTCGTGAATAGTCATTTGAGACAGGGTTCTCAATGACCGCACTAGTCATACTAGGTTGATGATGAAACATCGCTCTAGATATTTAGCCAGCGTGGAGTACTTCCACGCTACTAGATCCAGGCTAGACAAACCTTCCACGCGTTCCGTTTCGGGATCGTGGAGAGATGTAGGATTACTACCGCAACCTACTCTATCACACTTTATAGTCTCCCGCGGGAAGCCAGATCTACGATCCCTTGATGATGATCTCTCTCGTTGATTAGTTTTCATAGCTTTCTAATCTCTCTCATAACTTTCATTCTCTCAAACTCAAAACACTCGAAAGATCTTTACACTAGCTTTTAGCGTAGTGCACAAGGAACGAAGTACCGCTCGTCATGTTGATGCCGCAGCATGTTGATACCGCAGCAGTGGAGTTTTAGGAAGTAAGACAATTGATGATCTCCACAAAAGAGTACTGCTCACTGCTTTCACTCATTCATCATGACAACAATGCAAATAACAATGCAACCCTTCACGACCAAACCGAGAACAGTTGCTAGATGTGTCAAATTGCGAGTGACTAAATTTCCTGGGCTGTCAGCAGTAAGAGACTGCTGACGATGGGTGACTTACCCTTAAAAAGAAAACATTCCCGAGTTGGCATGGCTTTCAGTGTGTTAAGTGCAGGTGTTGTTGAAATTTTGTTGGTGGGATTTCACTTTGCAATAGGAACCTGCATGCCATCAGTACTGTATGAGACTTGTTGCCGTCGTATGAGACTTGTTGCCGTCGCAGGAGAATTGTTGCCGTCGCAGGAGAATTGTTGCCGTCGCAGGAAAATTGTTGCCGTCGCAGGAGAATTGTTGCCGTCGCAGGAGAATTGTTCCGTCGCAGGAGAATTGTTGCCGTCGCAGGAGAATTGTTGCTGTGCTGGATCATGTTGCCGTCGTCTTGCAGTCTGGAGATCTACAGCACTAGCATCGTTGAGCCAATTGTGCCTCCTCTTGGTGAGCCTGTAGCTGTTGTCCCAGCCTGTAGCCGTTGTCCCAGCCTGTAGCCGTTGTCCCAGCCTGTAGCTACAGCTATAATAGCTGTAGCTTGTAGCTGTCGTCCCAGCCTGTAGCTGTTGTCCCAGCCTGTAGCCGTTGTACTGTATATGTATCACTTACCTCCCAGTAATATTCCATTCCACCGTAATCCACCGTTTTCCTAGAGGAATTCATTGAGCTTTGTAGCGTCTCACTAGCTTTTTAAAAAGGGGGTTTTAAGGAAACTGTTAAATCACCTTGTGCTCTTGTGGAATGCTTTGGACACTTCAAACCATAACCAAATGTGATGGTTTAAAGTTCGTAACATTGTTTTCTTTCCCTGAATGCTAATTAATTACTAGTGCATGCTTTAACACACCAAAAGCACTTCAAGAAGGCCTCTTAATTGCAGAATCAGCTTTTGTACTCTTTGCCTGTATTCAAAAAAGCCAAAGTAAATTGCACGAGCCACCCCCAGACCCCCTTCTATGTTTAAATCGTGAGGTGACCTCACGAATTTGTCACGAATGATCGATGATTCGAATCGAATCGAATCAAATCGAATCGACGGGCAGACGGTGGATCTTTCAAAGACAGCCCCAACTTCACAACTTCACAACCCGACAACCACGAAACGACCCTTTGTTCACTTTCAATCATCACAAGGCACCGTGACAAGGACAGATACAACAACAGCTAATCAACCAATCAATCAATCAATCAACTCCTACTAGTACTACTAATAAGAGCAAGCATGGGAGGCAAGAAAGGAGGAGGCGGTGGTGGCGCCAACGTCAACTCCAAGAGTGCTGTAGGGCGAGCCAAAAAGGCCGAGAATGAAGCCGTCAAGAAAGCCGCCGAACGCGAAAAGCAAGCAGCCGCCGAAGCCGAGGATTGGCAAAAGGGTGCCAATGTCAAGAAGCAAAGCCGCAGCGAAGAAGCTGCGTTAAAGGCAGACGAGGCGGCTCGAAAGCGACGTGAAAAGCAAGAACTATTGGAAGCCGAAGAAGCCGACATGGGAGCTCGTCGCGCCAGTGCCATTAAAAAGCCAGGACCGACAGCGGGGTCCAAAAAGAAGAACAAGAAAAAGGACGATCTGTCCTTGCTAGAAGATGCGCTCGTCAGTTCCGCCGATAAGAAAGTGAAAAAGAAACGAGAAGAAACGCTCAAGAAACAACAAGAACAAAAGGAACAGCAAGAAAAGGCTGCCGCCAAACGACAAGGAGAAAGTGCATCGGCGGACGATCCATTAATGGCCAATACAGCCGCCATGATTGGTAGTACTGCCGATGCCGAAGAAGTCGGTCGACAAGCCAACAAGGCACGCATGGAGGCGGATGGAGCCAGTGGTCTGGATGGGGCATTGCAATCCTTGGATATCAAGATACCCACGGATGCCAAATCGGCCAAAGCGCTCTATTTGGAATTCGAGGCACGGATGCTGCCGGAAATGAAAGAAGATTATCCGGGTCTGAGACTGTCGCAATACAAGGAAAAAATATTCCAATTATGGAAGAAGAGTCCAGAGAACCCTGCCAATATGCAACCGTTATCGTAACAGCGTCATGCAAACGACAACTCGCTCTAATTCATTCAGTGCTTTGGGTACGGTCCGTGTGAGGGCGACAGTAATCTGAAAAAGGTCTCGCTTGACGCCCTGAATTGTTGACCCCCGGGATGACTAATATGTTACGACCCAGGAACGCCACAACATGCAGAATGGCTGAAGTGAAGATAAACTAAGAGCAGAATTCCAACCCCCTTTTGGTCGTGAAGGGATGATTGATGAGTCATTCCAATGCGCACCGTTCTCGTTGCTAATTAATACCACCTTAGCGCCCAAACATTCGAGAGCCTCCACAGCCCCCAAGCCAGACGATGGACGGCCTTGGCAGTTGTGTGTTTTGTTGTTTGTTTCCATTCCTACGGTGCCGGGGTGCTCTTCATCTAAACCGTACTAGTACCTCTGATTTCGTCTCTAGTTTACGTTCTTGACGTTCAATTCTGTGCGAGGCCGCGTGTCCCCAGTCAGCGGGGGCTGGATCTACGTACTGTCTCAGCTTTCCCATTTGCTATCATAGCATCGTTTGGCGACTCGACTCTGAGGTTGCCTTACTATTGCCTAACTAATCACGAGCACAACACGAACTAACAAAAAGCTACCGGGAAAATCAGTGCATGATCCTTCTACTAATAGTAATTAGTTGGGTGCTCCTTGCTACACTCCAACGGAACGAACGAACGAACCATCTACTCTTCGTCCTCGAACGTGTCCATGGGAACCTTGTAGAGGAGCAACACGGCCTTGTTGGGATTCCTCATCAACACGTACTTGCCGTCTTCCTGTTTCTGCAACAATTGCACAAACATTCGAATCATGGCCCACATTTGTCCTTCCGATAACGTGATTTGCGTGGCAAAATCCTTGGGACGGTAGAACTGCGTGGCCAGAATCTGATGTTCATAGGCATTCTTGGGTTCCTTTCGCGAGACAAACCCAATCTTCATTTGCTCGGCACCGGCCAGCAGGGACTGCGCGGTCCACTTGGCCAACTTGAACGAGTTGTTCTTGAGTTCGGTGGCCAAGACGGCACCACGTTGGGAATCAATCTTGTCACGCCAGTTAACGAGATTGGTGTTGGTGGTGGGTGCCACTGCCGGTGTGTATTCGTTGAGCGCAAAGGCCGTCATGTACTGCGACTTTTTGACCAATCCGTGCAATTCGGTACGGCACACCAATGTAGAACTGTCATCGAGTTTGAATTTTCGGTATCGATAGGCGACACTGGCTGGTTCCATGCCATCGGCGTCATCTTCGTCGAAGAATGGGTTTGGCATTCCAAATTCTTTTCGTCCGCTCTTTTTGAGGATTTGTTGCGAAAAGTTTTGATTGATCATGGTTGCCTCCAACCCCAATCGTTCCGGGGTGTTGATGTTGCCATTTTCATCAGTAGGTGGATTGTACGAGGTTTCTGTCATGATAATAATAATACGAATAAGACAAGGGGGACAAAGTAAGTGATAAACATGAAGGAATCAAGGCTGCCATTGAGGAATTGTATGCACTCACCATTAACAGTCAGATAATCAAAGGAGGAAGAATCTCTCTTATCAAAGAACAAGAGCTTTCCATTTTGCAACTTGGTAATGACAAGATCCCAAGGATACACACTGCGAGTACACGTCATGAGATGAGCCAGGATGGTATCGGTAATAAAGACCTGCCCCAATCCATCAATGGCCAATTTCTCCAAGACCGGATCGTCGGTGGTAGTAACAGGATAGAACTCTTTGTTTTCCATTCTCTTCAAACTGGGAGCCTGACGAGCGGTAATCTTGTCATATGCTTCATGGTAAGGATCCAAGAATCCACACCAGAGAACATCTTCTGGATTGGGCACTTCGGTAGAAGCCACCATGTGTTTGGTAAGTTTGGCGAGATCCAATTCTTCCACCTTCTTCCAGTCATTGCCCACCGCCACAGATGCCTGTCGATCCACGCGATTGTTGTATCCACGTCCGTAACTACGATATCCTCCACGACCACCACCACGGCCGCCACCACCGCGTCCGCCACCTCCTCGACCGCCTCCCGTCGATGTGAGTTTGTCCACGCCAATATTGGCCCCGGGTCCTCCTCCTGCCGCTTGACGTCGGGCATTGATTTGTCGCAATCGAGCGGAATGTTGGCGTCTGCGAGCCGTGGGATTGACAAAGCGTTTGGTAGTGGCTGTCTTGGTGGTATCGACCAACTGGAAGGCTTCGTCATTGTCGGCCGCTTCTTCTTCGGCAATCCGACGCATGAAATCTTGTTTGGAACTGGCAGTGGCGCCTCGGCGGTTAAAGCCATCTCCACGATGGTATTGTTGATGGCGACCACCCTGGGTAAAGTCGGCACAACGACCCAAACGATCCGAACGACCAAAGGGAGAGTACGGAAGGGAGGCAAACTTCACCACATTGCCGCCCATGGGAGCGTCATTCGGATTGGCATCGTCCAGATCAGGGGGGCCCCAAGAGGTAGGGTTGGAAGCCACAAAGGGAACTGCAAAGCTGGCTGTCATGATGCCGATAAATGCAAGCTCTTATCTATCCGCCTTCAGCAAGCAACTTGAGAAAGATGGACCCTCAAGGAGAAAGATGATGGTGTGGAGTTGCGGCTCTCCGGTTTGGAATTGTTGCGTGGCCGCCTCCAACCAAACTTCGCAATGGGCTATGAGCTATGAGCTCTCTCATTTCTAAAAGTACGCACAGAGTTGCATCAAATAAAATACGCAGACCATTCGACCCACTGCAGTACCCAACAGTCGTTCGAGTACTAGTGTATGCATGCATGCTTTTGCCCTCCTGTCTGAGCATGGGTATAAACATACGTGGAGGTGTGACTTGGTCTTCCTCCTCAGTACTTAGCTGTTAGCAGTAGCCCCAATTGCAAGTCTGCACATGGAACTGGATTGCATATCCCCATTGGAATCAAGGCACACTACCTGTATTCCTACCGTACTGCACATTGAGTCTGGTATTGGAGACTGGAGACTGGTGGATCCAATGCAGAATTGGATGTGCAGGATGACAAGTATCGTGTCAACCATGAGAAGGTCAGTGGCTAGCAGGATGCTTTTACCATTGAGCTCAGAGAGGGCAAGTAGGTTGTTATTCAATCCTCCCTGGACCTCGTCAGTGCCGCGTCATATAGTTGGGGCTACATTGCCGGTCGAAACAAGGTCTTCTTATCTATAGAACGACCACCGCTGCATGTCCTTTCTGACCCCGGCGCTCAAACTGGGAGAAGAACAAAGGATCCTATTATTTTCTTCCAATGCAGTACCGGTAGTAAAGGTCAGTTTTTGGAACGAAGCGCATACATACTAGCTCTTTTCTACAGATTGTTGATTGGAACTGTTGGTACGGTACACATTCTGCAGAAGATACATGTAGCTTGCCCTGTAACAAGAGGAGCAGTTTTGCATGGACGGCTGAACCACGCCCTAGCTAGTAGCCCAAAGTGGCTGGAGGAACGGTTGTTGGCTGGGTATCTGTTGAAGGTTTTCCACCTGCATGCTTCCTCGTTTTCAGTGACCACGAGTCCCTGCGGTAAGTAGCACCGTATCATGAAGTCTATCCGATTGCCTGCTTTGTCCAGCGGCAAGTCTTTTTGTTGTTTGCATTTATCCATCAAATAAATATAGCTTGCTGCCATTTTCATCATTATTCCATCCAACTCAATGTGAAATGGACCGGTTTATTGATAAAGGTCAGGCCTTGTTCGTCCTTGGAGGGCAGCTTGAATATCTTGTCAATGACGGCAAAGCTTTCCGTATCTTCCGGCAAGATTTCTCCAAAATTGGTGTGTTGCGTCCCCCACCAAGTGGCCGGTTCTCGATAATTGGACAAGAAAAAGTCGGGACCACCGGCTTGTCCCGCCGCCCATGCCACCATTCCTCGTTTCATGACGGGACCGTGACAGCCACAATGCTTATCCCATTCGGGACAGTCGTTGGGGACGTTTTCCGATCCCTTGGGACAGGGCCCTAGTTCGGTATTGTAGCGGGGATTCTTCATGTCCATGATACCCTGTAAGATACCCTCTGGTTCGCAGCGATAAAAGCGACACGTTTTGCAACCCTCTTCTACCACTCGATGCAGATAATCAACCGATCCTTGACTCAATTCTGGTCTCATGTGAATGATGATGGTGCCCAGATCAGTCGTCAAGGCTAATTTTTCGTCGGTTCGGTCGGCGGTAGTGGATTCTTGCTGTTGTGATTCTTGTCGCAGAGCTGGCTTTTTCTGTGTCTCTTCTTTTTCTTCTTCTTCCACAACTCGTCTCTCCATTGGTGCTTCTTTGGTCACTGGATCATCCGTCGACGACGACAACAGGTAGCGAGTGCCGTAGACGCCCACCATGAGCACGACGAATAGGACGAGGATGATCAACTGGCCATCGAATTGTGTCTTTTTGCGCTTTTTCCGTCGTCGCTTCGTTTCGTCTCCTGGACTCCATTTGCTATCTGGCTTCTTGCTAGCAGCATTACTGCGGCGGATCACACCCTCCGAGGTTGCCATCTTATTATTGCATGTATGTCTCCAAGGATGAAGCTTGCTTGTGGAGTGATAGAGTGTGCCCTTTCTTGCTGTTGCTCTTTGTTGCTGTTTTTGTTCTTCGAAATCCAGGCCGGAATGCCGGTACCGGTACCGCTTTGGATCTTTTGGATCTTTGACTCGACTCGGCTCATTCGACTGCCCGCACTTCTGTTTTCCACGCTGTCTCTCCACGCACCTTACCCCTAATGATCTCATTTTAGGTTATGAGGGAAAGTTGAAGTCCGAGAGAAAAGATCGGCATCAACGTAATTCAACTAAGATCTCTTCCGCATCAATCCCCAATCAACTCGTTGCTACGTGCGTGGTGAACGTCAAGGCAGTGTGTATCCTGTTGCGGCAAGCTCCTGTTGTCTCTTCCTCTTCGGTTTCTCCCTCTGCTTGTCTCCCTGATCGCTCACTACTTTTCAAGTATTCAATTTACTAACCTCAATTCAGTCACCATGATTCGCGCTCTTTTCGTCTTCGCTTTGATCATCGCCGTCGCTCAGGCCTTTGTCACCCCTGCCACCCAGGCTTGTAAGTTTCTCTGATGGCTCTCTGATGACGAGGACCGTGACGTACTTTTGTGGTGGTGGAAGATTATGGTGGAAGATTGTGACCCATGTTCTGGCAACTCACTGTGTTGCTTGATCTTCTCTTTTGTTTCTCGCTACAGTGTCTGCGGCCAAGGTTGAGGCACCCCAGATGTCCTTCGACAGTTTTGCCGAAATCGCACAAAGCTCACAAATGATCGCCTCCAACGCCGGTGACTTCGGAGGAGCTCTTTTCCCAGTTTTCGGACTTGCCACCCTTGGAGCCATCATCCTGGTCCTTGCCCCCCCTCTTCGTGATGATTAAATTCCTTCCTCTTTTTGGATTTATCATTTCATAGAATCATCTGATTGGTTGGTTGGGGTGTCGACCTTTGGCTAACAAACCACAAGTCATATCCCCTTCCTTCTGTGGATGATTTGACGTGATTTGGGAGCGCGTGTAGACTACTACTTTTTCTACTCGGAGACTAACTTTTAGAGCTACATTATCACCAAGGATACCCATGTTCACTCGACTGTTAGTGCTACTAGCTAGAGATTGTGGAGTAGACGAAACCAGGACATACATGTAGTACCGTTGTCATTGGCCTAACCGAAAGTCAGGAAGACGATAGAATGGAGAAACCGCACCTCACTTACAGGAACAATTGGCTCCCCACTAACCGAAGTCAGGAAGGTGGATAGAACGGAGATACCTCACTTCACATTTAAAGAGGGGCAAGACGGACTGGACTTTAAAAGGACGATGGAATCAGTCTTCAACCATTGGTTTCGTACTAGGGCTTTCCCCGAGAGGTTCTTGCATACCGGTAGCTCTGACATCGGCTCTCTTCAGTTGTCAGTCCAGAACAGCACTTGGATCCGTAGCAAGTGGTCAGGCCCACGAAAGCTGACCGGAGGAGGAGAACTTAACAAGAAGGTTGGCAACAAGCGACAGATGGATCCCTCGCACGACTAGACTAGCCAGCCACAAGGCATGCATACATGGGCCCGGCGGCTGGAAAGACCTCCGCTGACCTCGTGGCAAGCAAGTGGCTGGCAAATGCATTAGTACTTATCGTGCCGGGGTTACTGACAATAAACCTAGGAATACCGACCTGAAACTAGCTAGGGAAAATCTACTTCTTCAAGCATGTCGAGTTCATCAAGCTTTGTCGCGTTGTGGGGACAAATGATTGCAAAGGTTGGAGTGTCCTCGTCAAGCTTCTCGCATCGCAAAGGAGGATGGTTGGATTCTGCATTCAGCGGGCTTTTCGAGCCAATTTTTGTACCGTAGCCTAAACCCTTTATCAAAGAGCGAGGCGAATACGTGCGTTGTCGAAGGATACCACGTTTTCTCGGAACACTGGAATGCTGCCGAGGATCCAAGCGGCTTCATGTTTCACTGAAAGCAGGATGTGTCGAAAATAAGGGGGGGTTTTAGAGTCTTTTCTCACTTCATTTGAAGAACAATAGCTCTAGCTAAAGTATATTTTGCATCCACAAAAAAGGAAACAGGAAAGATGGAAGAAACGAAGAGTGCTCCCGTCCCGGCCTTGTACTCCACCCGAGTATTGTTGGTGGTTTTCGGCATGATCCAGATCACCCTGGCAGCGGGGTTGATTGTTGGATGGCCGAGTATCGCTGGAACGATGCTGGTGGAACCATTGGAATCGGGTGGGGCTGGATTGTCCCTTGATCAGACTACGCAACTGTATTCTTTGGCAGCCGCAGTCAATTACATTGCTCCGCTATTCCTTGGTCTTGTTTTGGACTATTATGGACCAAGAGCTTGTTCTTTCCTCTCCAACGCAATTGTGGCAGCTGGCTTGGCCATTTTCTCCATGGCCTCTTCCTTTCCAATCTATGCACTTGGAATCTGCCTTGTTGCCTTTGGCGGGCCTTCGGTGCAACAATGTCTCCTGCATATTGGCAACATGTTCGCAGAGAGACGTTTCTTTGTCATGGGAATGGTAGCCGAGTCCATTACTCTTTCTTTTGCTGTCTTTCCATTGATGGATATTGCATGGGAAAACTTGCCAGATGGCAAAGGATTTCGCATTCTCTTTGCAGGGCTTTCGGCACTTGTGGTGGTGTCAGCAATCTGCTCCCTGTTGCTGTGGCCAGATGCACCCTATGAAGTTCCCAACGAGAAGGAACCAGCGGGTGAAGATGAACCTCTTGTGAAAAAGCCAACCGCGGAGGCGAATAAAGATGCCCTAAAGAATGGCACATTTAAGGAACAAGTGACAAGTGGGGTCTACATCCGATTGTGCATTTTCTTCATTGTCACTAGCTGGTGGGCAAACTTTTACATCGCTACGGTCACAACAGAGGTACGTTGGTCAAAGACGAGGGGAAAGCGCCAGTCCAAGTTGCAACCATGAAGGAGGCTTACATAACAGTGTTCATCCTTTTCTTTTTTATTCAATGAAAGCTTGGAGATCAAGGCATCTTTGGCCCCGAGGGTCAGCACTCCTTGACGAGGTGGTTGAGTTTCCTGGATGCCGGTGCCATTGTTGCCGCACCTCTGAGTGGCTATCTTTTGGATTCGGTTGGCTTTGCTCCAACTGCAATCATTACGATCGCTCTTGGAGTTACTCAGCAAGTCTGCCTTTTGATTGCAGGAGGGAATTTTGTCATTATGATTTTCAGCTTTGGCACCTATGCCATTTATCGGGCATTTCTGTTTCCCTATTTCTTTGCTACCTTGTCGCGAAAGATGGGATTTCGTTACTTTGGCTTTTTGTCGGGCATTTCCTTTTGCGTGTCGGGGCTTACCCAGTTCACTGTGGCTCCCGTTGCATTGGTCGTGGAAGGAGACTGCCACCAAATCGAAGGATATGTTCACATCGAAGGAGGTGTTTGTGAGGAGGGTAGTTGGACGGCCATCCATTTGGTTCAAATTGCATTTTTACTGCTCCTGCTCCTGGTTCCATTCTTTGACATTCGGTCCGAGCAAAAGGATCCCAAGCCTATCACCCACCACGAGTCCACGTTGTCTGCCTTTTCCAAAGAAACCATTGCGCTATCCTCCCGTTCCATCGACTATGGGGCCATTCAAGAGGAAGAACCCTAGCTAGCATGTCGGGATCGGAACAAATTTTTGTCGTTCTTATTCTAAAGTAGTTGTTCAAGATCTATTTTCTGTATATTATTTGCAAGGGATGAAAAGAGGAGGGCGGGAGAGGAACTCGACTCGATGGCTATTATACCGGTACCCCTTCGAAAAAGAGCAAAATTGATGATAATCGAGCAAGCTTCAAAGTCAATCTTCAATAGTACCCGCCGCCACCATAACCGTACCCACCTCCACCATAACCGTACCCACCTCCACCGGGACCATACATGCCGCTGCTGGGACCACCATACATGCCGCCACCATACATTCCCATGCTACTCGTATTGTTGTTGTATCCATATGGCGTCATGGCAGTTGTTGTTGGCTGATGATGAGAGGGGTGGGGAGATTGTTGGATCCGTCTTTGCCGTGATCTTCTTCTTTTGGCGACTAGCAGGCTTCGTAGAATACGATAGGCAGCATAGGATGCAGCTACCACGAGTGCCCATCGCAGCGCCTTGAGCCTTCGCTTTTTCATTTTTTGCTCCTCCGTTTCGAATATCTTTTCAGTGGCATCGAGCGCCCTCATTTCGTGCCAGGCCGCCAAGGCGTGATCCAGCATGGACGAGGCGGCATCCAATAGCTGATGGAACGCCTCCGTATTCATTCCAATGACTTGCACCGCCGAACTCAGCGAGTAGATTGCCGTTTGGACTCCAAACAGAAACTGATTGAGACTGTTCAGGGGACCCATCCCCCCCATCATCCCACCGTATAATCCATAGGGAGATCCCATCATTCCTCCTCCGTACATGCCCATTCCTCCTCCGTACATGCCAGCGCCGCCAAGGCCTACTGCGCTGGTCGCAAGCAAGTCCGTCGTCGTGGGACTGGACGCCGTGGCTTTAGTAGAAGTACCGGTAGTTGCAGATGATTGTGTCTTGGCCGCGGTTTTGGCGGCTTTCTTGGTTGGTTTCTTCTTGTTGGCCTTTTTCTTGTCATCTCCATTGGATAATAGTTTCTTGCGAGCCTGGAAATCAGTCAGTGTTTGTTGTTGACGTTCGTTCGCTTTGGCAGGAGATGAGGCCCCATCGTCAGTGAGCGGTTGGGGAGGGTCTCTCCTCGGTCTTGCGGCAATACTCGGCGGCATCCTTCTGGCTACAGTATATTCGTTGTGTCAGTTGTTTGAATCGCTGCTCCCGTAGCTAGCAACAACCGCCTGAACGTTGGTTGTTGGCGTTCTCGTACCGACGCTTTCCCGTTGTGGTTGTGTGTGCTGAAGCAAGGCTGCTGCCCCACTGGGAGATTACGTCTCCTCGAGACGACGCTCCTTTTAGATTCCCCCTCAGTTGCACTCCGAAACCGATTCGCTCGCGTTTACTGTGTAAAATAGTGTACCCGCACTTCAGTTGCAGAATCAACGGTC